TAAGTGTGCTAAGTTTTCTTTTCACTTTTCCATAGGTACCGATCTTTTCTAGATGATCAAACCGCTAATAAAATAAAATGAAATAAAATCAGATTATAGTCAGGGACATTGTTTTAAAATGGTATGGAAAACTGCCTAAAAGTACTTAATATAAGATGTAAATACAATTTAGAAGACATCATAAAAGCATATGTGCTTTTATCTACGTGTCTTTCTTCATATTGCTGTCACATTAAAAAGCGAGAGAAGTATTTGCATGATGTTGTTACAATTTCACTATACTCCGATACTTTGTAATGTCTCATGCTTTTACTAACTACGGTGAAATCTGTTAACTCTATTCGCCACGGATCAAATCCCTTTTTTTTTTAATGCAAAACATTAAAAAGAAAGGGGATTTGAATAAGAATAACACACAAGAGGCCATGCAGTTAAAAGGCAGAAATAAACTCCAAAAGTAAGCTACACAAAGACACAAACTTCCTGAGCTTCCAATGGCAGAATCCAGAGCCATCGGCAGGAGGGCAGCGTTCCCTGCCTGCCACGTCTACAGGCGGCTGCGGCAGCAAAGACGCGGACACACACGGGGGTTAGAGTGCAAACGCTTTATTGAAGAGGAGCCTGTGTTAGCCGGACGAGTTCGCCGAAGGACAGAGGCACAGAGTGAGCAGCCCAGAGGCACACGCGAGCCGCCGAGGCTCCGAGCACTCTCCCCGCGCTCGCTCCGCGGACATGCAAGGGCTGCCCGGGCGGGAGCCGCCCCTCCCCGCCGCACTTACCGAGCCCCTGTACTTCTCCAGAGACACAAGCTTGCCCCTGATGTTTACAACTTTGAAAGTGTAAAAATCAGGCTCCTTCTGCCGCGTAGCGGAAAAGGCTAAGAGCAGGAGCGCTGCAATTGCGAGGAGCATGGCTAGAGGGATGAGGAGGACTTTGGGGAAGGAGGAGGCAGGCTGGTGCTCCACACTGCCCTCCGGGTCCAGCATGCTGCACGGCCGCCGCGCTCTGCCCGGCCCGGCCCGGCCGCGCTGCCGCAAACGCCGCGCTGCTGCAAACGGGCCTTTTGCGGCAGCCGGCGGCTCTGCCCGCTCCGCTCCGCCGGGACGGCTCCCTCCGCGGGCACACGCTCTGGAACGGAGCTGCCTGAATGGTTACGGCTTTAAAGCACTGGCTGGCTCCGTCTGTGGGATGCCAGTCACAGAATCGCAGAATATTCTGGGTTGGAAGGCGCCCACAAGGATCACTGAGTTGGGACCCTTGAGGAACCTCAGAACATTTGGCTTTACTTCTTCTGTTTCATTGTTCCTCCAGTGCTGTATTGAAAGCCATGAATTCTTGATAATAATATTTCAGCCCAAGAAAATCTGTCTTTTTTTTTTAATTACATGGTGTGCATGGACAGTTTTGAAACCAGAACTAACACTAACATATGAATACTGATACTAACCTGTTTTCATGATAGCAACACCATTCCCAAACTGCCAAGTCTGAAGGGACTTAGAACCATCCTTTAGAACTAATAATGACCCAAACAGGTATTACCACGACTTGCAGTGCCCTGTGTTTCATAAAATAGATACAGATTCACTCTTAAGTGAATAGCCCATACAGGGATCAAAGCAATGCTATTAAAGATCCTTCTTTAACTACATCCTTGTGATTTTTGATGGATTTGCAAAGGCCCTTTTTTGTGCACTAACTGCAGCATGTGGTGAGTACGGTGTAATGCCAAAGGACAGCAGTGGCTTGGTTGCTACTGGTTACTGAGGCAGTGCTCTGAACCAGTCACAGCACACATTAAAACCAGAATCACCAACACGCCACATAAACCTGCCACATCAGCCAGGCCTGCAGGAAATGCAGCTCTGCACGCACCTGCCTGCTGAGAAGTGAGTGGCCAGACCACTGATCTCACTGTGTGAGATGGAGAAACCACACTGCCAGAGGGTTTCAAGCAAAAAAGAGCCATAAAGCATCAGGAACTGAGTTTGGTATCAAAGCCTTGAGACATTCAGAACCAAACACTGCCTCAGTGCACTGATGTCATTCTTGGGTTGTTTGCAAAAAAAAATGCTATTTGTACAGTTTGCTACTGTGCCTGCTGGAAGAAAAGATTTGTAACAAAGTAACAACAATAGAAAGCTTTTGATGGTCATTGATTTCTTCTTGGACCACAAAACTGGTCAGCCATGGACAGCTATGACTCTGATAGTTCTTGGCAAAGAAAAGGAAAATGCAATGATTTACAGAAAACAAAGTGGTTCCAAGGCATATTGGAAATTTATCTTTTGAAGAGAAAATGACATTTTATAATCTCACTTTGGTTTTTTGGGGCTTTTCTTAAGAATTTTGGTAGATCTTTGACATTTTGATTAAATTTGCTTAGGTAATTCAAGCATGACCAGCATTACTGTAAGGGAAGAAGCCATATATAGCTAGTTGAAAAACATATTTGCAGTTTTTAAGCATTTCAGATTTCTCACATTTTTTATTAATTTCAGTTTAAGCAGACATGCAACATCAAGAAATAATGTAATATGCTACAAAAATATATAGATGGATAGATGGAAAATCTTCTGTCGTGGTCTCTACAGGAAAGATACACTGTGATGAGAATGTGAATTTCTTTGCAGATAGGTGGTATTTTCCTGGATACTTTCCTGGCTGTACTATTGATCAAGATGACAGTCAAGTATGATTTCCTCATTTTATAAGTAAATTATCTAAGAAGCTTTAGAGTTTCTTCAGACAAATCTGAGAAAGAGAACATGGCTTTTGCATTTAAAATTATTTTTAAAACCTAGTAAATTCTAAAAATAATTTTTAAAAATTTGATGATCAGCATAACGTGGATTTTTTTTTGTCAGAAAATTAAAAACAAATCTACAGTACACACTTACATTTTTGAGGAATAATATTTTAGCTGCTTGCTTATAGGACTAAAAATGAGGCCACATACTGCTATGTAAGAAGCAAGTTTTGCTCTAGAAAAGGACTTTATAAAATCTACTTACTACAGCTTTATGATTATCATCTCTGATTTCTAGATAAAATTTACTCACTTTCAGAGTCATATTTTCTCCTACAAATTGATCCCAGAATCTGAAAATTTTTGATCACTGGCACTGATGATTTATTCTTTAAATAATGGCCTGCTGGCAGTAGAACTCTGCTTCCTCTTTTAGTGCCATGTTTCTATATTGCTCTCTGCCATAAAATATTCTTTAACATCAGCAAAGAAGGAGGCATTGTTCCTGAACACAGAGATAGAGACTATGTCAAAGACTGTTGGCTTTGTACTGGTGAACGTTTTCTGAGCCAAACTGCTCTACCAGTTCATATTAAAGTCTATCCAACTGTTTGAAGGAAATATGCCAATCAGGTTTGCAAACTGGCGTGTGTTTGCTCACTAGCATGTCTCAATGTTGATCTAGGAGAACTGTATCCAGCAGCAAGTATAATCTAGCTACTTCTGCAATTTACTCTTTGGCCTACTAAACCTAATAGAAATCTTTGTCAAATAAATTGGAATAGGCTGGAACCACCACCCAGTTAACCTCAGTTGTCCCCAGGGCAGCACTGCTGTTTCTGTTGCTGCTGCCCTGGACTGGCCCACGTAGCTAAAGGTGAATCCCATGAGCAATACCCTGAGCTACCCAGTCCTAATTTTGTAAAGTGTGAACTTCAAGTGAACTGAAAAAAAAAAAAAAATACAGGTTACCTCTAAGGATTGTGCTGACTTCACAATACATTCAGAAGTATGTCTTGTCAGTATTACAGAATCCTGTATTACAGATTTTGCAACTTTTGTGTGCCTACACAGACTCCCTGAGGTAGTGTTTCTAGCACTACTATTCATATCACTTTTAATAGTTTCCTTTGAACCCCTTTAGTAGTTCAACACTGATCTTTCAGTGCCTTGTTTTCCTGGAAAGGCCTCCTTAGCCTGGGCTAGGAAGTGCCAACAACACGACATTTCACTGCCAAAAAGGGGTAGTACTGGATCACAGAGGGATTTGCCTCAGACAAGCACTTGCCAGTGCCTTTAGGTCACCGTCCAGCGCTGCCAAGAGCCGGCAGGCTGGCTCTTCTCCCCCGAGACCTGCACTCTGCCAGCAGACATGCTGGCCAAGCCACTGTCCCTGGCTGCTGCCGGGGCCAGCTGCATAGCCAAGCTCAGGGAGCCTGGAGTCATTTCCCCAGGTGCCCGGAGCACAGCCGGTCTTCTCCACCGAGCACAGGAGGAAGGGAGAAGCCCTGGGGAAGCGGGGATCAATGCCCGGGCTCCAGCGAGCCCTATCCTGCTCCACAGGGCCTGGGCAGCGGATGCCTCATCGCTCTCCTGACGGGAGAGCGTACTGGGGAGGGGCCGGCCCCTTCTGCCGTGCCTGCAGGGACAGGACCAGAGGAAACGGTTCTACGCTGAGACACGGGAGATTCAGATTAGATACTAAGAAAAAAAATGTGCCCCGTGAGGGTGGTCAGGCATTGAATAGGTTGCCCTACGGTGTCACCATCCGTGAGGGTGTTTGGGAGGCGTCTGGAGCTGGCGCTGAGTGCTGTGGGTTTAGCGGCTGTGGGGATACTGTGGCAGTGCGGGGTGCACGGTTGGACTGGGAGCTCTTAAAGGTCTCTTCCAACCGTGCTGATTCTATGCGGAAGAAGAGGCATGGGAAGAGAAACAAGGGGAAAAACTAGGATGGCTGTTGGGGGGTAATTAAGAAGAAAAAATATGCTGCTTATTCCCTCATCCCCGCTTGCCGCTGTGGCACTGAGGGAGGAAGGCCCTGAACGCCGGGGAGACGGGAAGGGGGGGCGCATCGCCCCCTCAGCAAGGGGGAGGCTCTGAGGCAAGGGGGGGCTCCCCGGCTGGGCCGGGGCAGTGCGGGCACCGTGCCCGGCTCGGTCCCCGCCGCCGCCGCCGCCGCCCCGCAGCGCCGCCGCCCTCGGGGCGCTCCCGCCCGCCTTCGCCCCACAATGCACCGCGCCGCTGACATGGCGGCCGGGCCGGACTGAGCCGCTGCCGTCGGGGCCTGCAGCAGCCGCAGCCGGGCATGGCGGGGGCGCCGCGCCGGCTCCGCTAGCGCCGCACACAGGTACCGGGGCCCGGGGGCTCCACGCGGCCGGGGGCGGCGGCGTGGGGGGAGGCGGGCTCAGGGGGTGCTGTCCGCGCCGGCGCCCCCCGCCCCAGCCCTGCCCCGCCTCGACGGCCCGCCGCGGCCTCGGGCCCCGCGCCCGGGCGGGGGAAGCGCCGGGTCCGCGGTGCGGGGGCCGCCGCAAGGTCAGCGGGGGGCCGGGGCCGCCCCCGGAGGCGCATCCGGGCCGGAGCCGGTGCGTGCGGTTTGTTGTTCGTACGCCCCGTGGAATTAAATAATGCGGGGGGGAGAGAGCACCGCAGCCGGCGAGGCCCGCGGGGAATGTCCCGTGTGCGGGGCTGCCCTCGAGAGCCGTGCCCGCTCCGCCGCAAGAGGTTCTCCTTTCCGTGGATTACGGTCTGCCTGGAGTGACACCCAGGCATCCCTTCGCCTACGTGGTTGTGCTCTTTTGTTGGCTTATTTTGTATACAAATACAGCTGAACGACTTTGCTGCTTTTGCAATATGTTGCAATTTGCCAGTTGGCTGAATGTGTCATATTACCTGAGGCCTCCTGGCTTTTAAGGTTGTTTCTGGGTATATCAAAGGAAGATGAGCTCATAATACACAGAGAAACAATACAATCGCATTTAAGCTAAGGTAGAGATTAGTCCATTAAAAAGATAGTTGCATCTAAGTATGGATCTAATAATTTTTTTTATATCCATGCCACCTCCACGTCACTTGGCTTCCTGAGCACTGTGCCCTGGTGTTAAGGGTCGTTGCATTTGCTTGAAAATAGAGGCTACATGTTGTTTATGGTTTTGACTTGTGCTCCCGGTTTCAGTGGTTGCTTTTTGGATACTTTGACCCCAGATAGTTATGACATAATTATTTCCGTGACAAGAAAAGTAAGCCAGCCATGGAACTATGACTTAATTACAGTACCTGGCAGAAGATGCTATATTAGGAGTAAGAGGTCTCTATTACAAATACCAATTTTGCAATGACCTTTTTTTAATCATTTTTCTACTTAACTTTAGTGTAAACCTTCATAAAATTAATTTTGTGAAAAAATTACCTTTTCCCAGAAGATATATTGGGATATGTTCCCAGAAGATAGACACAGAGGGATCAGAAAGTTCCTCCTGTGTTCTGTTCTTGCACAGAGGACAGCTGGGACTTCCTTTTCATACCTCAGCTTGCCGTGCTGAGTGCCCCGGGACACCTGCACTGTGCAGGGCATTTATCCGGTTCTTCCTCTGAAGGGAACTGCTGCAGTGGGGAGAAAGAAAGAGGGACAGGATTTCCCTGTGTTGTACTTGAAGGCAAGATATTCCTGAGGAGCTCCTCTTAACTGTCTTGTGGCTCTGCTTGTCAGTCATGCTTCAGGATTGTTGTATTCCTGTTGATACCATAAGGCAGTCTGACTGTCTGAGAGTATATTCTGTGTTCAATTTGCAATCCTGGCTTTTTAAACTTTACAAAGCATTTCTACTACATTAAGTTTATTTTTGTCACTATCTTAGTGAAATAATGCAATACTGGTACTGACTTGTATTGAAAACCCATAGAAAGAAGGATCCTGCAATTTGCTTAGTGGATTAATTAGCACAATGGAAGCAATCCAGTGAAAGTCAACATTTCTCATGCTTTTGGCACATTAACACTATTTTGATATTGCTTGATAAATCGTTTAACTTAGAAATACAAAAGACCTAAATTTTGTAACGGTGCACATGAATTTAATTTTTACTCTTCTTTTTTTGTTTTCACAGAAATGCATGCATGCATGTATACTCATACTGTATCCTTGGTTTGTAATTTTGGTTCTAAGGTTTCAGCAAGTCTTTGGAAAAAACCCAATTTATCAGATGTTCTTAGATTTTATTTTCATTTCTGTTGATGCATGAAATACTCCTGCCAGCAAGAAGTAACTTTCAGATTTTAGTTTTCAGTGTCAGCAAAGCTTGACACAGGAGTCTGGAATCAGTTTTGTGTTACAAACGATTGTGACTCAGTCCGCTGAGCGTGGCTGTGTTCTTGACAGCTTTCCTGGAGTTGTGATTTTCAGCATGTTTCTTCCCGTAGGGAAAGTGCTGGATGCTGGTGAAGAGGCACGAGGGTACTGGTAGAAGATCTGTTTGCTTTCACTGTGGTTTGTGAGCTGGTTTGCAGCTGGTATGGAGCAGTTCAAAGACCATCCCTTCCTCAAGGATTCCAGTTTGAGCGAATGGCTGGCTCACTGTTGTTTAAATACAAGATGCAGATAAGCTTCTATGCCACAATACATATTGCTGTATTGTCATTTAGCATAGCACTGAGCATAAGTGGAGGTTAAGATCAAGGTGAAAAAATTAGTTTCAGGTGTGGCTGCCATTTAAACCAGTTTTGTGATCATCTGAGGCCTCTGAAGTCTCTGAAAGGCTCTAAACCAGTGCAGTGCTGTGTTGTGCTTCCCCAGCCTCCTCATGGGTCCTTGGGCTGATGTGTGTGTTTGATTTTGAAGTTAGAGCTCCCTTGTATCAGTTCCTGCTCTGCTCTCACATGAACCATGCAGCATTCGGGGAGATCTGGGGCAGGTGCTGCCCCTCTTCTGGCTTCAGGGTTTGCTGCAGTTGGGTCTGAGGTGTAAGGGACTGCTGCAGTAAAACGTAGCATCAGAACCAAAATGTGCAGAAGCATGAGGAGCCTATATGGAGTAGAGGTGGGGGAGACTGTTGGTGTGGCTGGGAGAGGACAGCTTTGCCGAGCTTGGCACGGGAGGCAGCAGCAGTAGTAGGGTCAGAGGGAGGTAGTTCTTGGCGTTGGGTGACATTAGTTTTTCTCACCTTCCCGGTGAGTCATACAGTGCTGTAGAAAAAACAGTGAGTCAATGCAGAGTAATCTGTAACAAGCATATCCCTTATGGATCTCCCATCCGGCATATTTTGCTCACTTGAAAATTTTAATTGTAAGGTATTTGCACCTGCATGTGTTACTAAGTTTTGTATCAGCCAAAGCCTTTCTTGTTACTTTGTTTATTCGGCAGTACTTCTGTAAATCAGATATCATCTTGTTACAGTGTTAGATATTTTCTACATATGTATATGTACATAGTTATATATCTAATGATGACTCCTTAGACGTTTTCAATCTTCCACATAATAAATACAGCATCAGAGCTGCCTATCTTCACTGAGCCCAGAGTGCCAGTTTTGTTGCATCCTTGATTTGTGTGTTAAAGTTTATGCACCCTGTGCTGACTTCCTTCTGGGTAGATTTTGGCAGTATTATCCTTACCAGGATAAATTCTGTAACCTGTAGTAAGAGGGAGTTCTGGAACACTATGTAGCACTTATGTTTGTTACTAAGAATATCGATGGGTTTAGTGCTGGTGGAGTCTGAAGCGCTTTAGTGGCCAGTAATCTCTGATAGTTTTAGTTTTAAGTACTTTGGAAAAACATCAAGCATGAGTAGTAGGTTGTATCAGTTATGTCTCTTTCATCATAAATCAAACATAAATGTGTGATTTTTTTTTTTTAAACTATCGACAAAGAACATGGGAGAGGTTTGAATGATTTGTAGGAGTTCTCAGGCAGAAAAGTGGGCCTAAGGCTTAAACAGTGCGAAAAGATCCCCCCACCCCAGCACATTAGGGCTGTCCACAGACATCACCTGTGCTGCACCCTGAGCAGAGTGCAGAAGACAACCTTTCCTATTGTTCCTGACTGTGGCTGTAACCTTTGTTTGCAGAATTTCCTTTTATTTTTCTGTTGAGGAAGTTCAGCTGGGCTATATTGGTAGTGAGGCGAGGGGGGCACTGAGGTTAATCACCCCACTTAGTGTTGGAAGGCTGGCTGGGAGATTTGAGCTTAAGGACAATCATAATGGGAGAGATAAAAGCAGGTCTTGGATAAAATACAAGTCTCCCTATCTCAAAGGAGGGAATGCTTTATAGAAACAGGGTGATAACACTTATGTTTGTAGTACTTTCTGTGTTTATATTTTATCTAGTACTCCCCAGGGAAACAAAACTTAAAAGCCTGTTCTCTTTCCCTTTAGTTGCCATTCTACACTGTAGTCCCTACTTTTGGGCATTTCAGCCAGTTGGGACCACATTTTAGAACATATTTGAAGTAATGGCAAAGGGTCATTGAGTTTCTGTCTATTTTCTGGAACAATTATGCCTTAACAGAGGAGAGGTCTCTGCTGAGGGGGAAGCAGGAGGAAGTTCCATTTCCTTGTAGGGAGTAGCTACAAATCAGACAGGGCTCCAGCACGTCTGCTCTGCTTGCCCAAGGGGCTGTGATAGAGTGTGACAGAGGAGCACAAAATGAACGTCTAGGAAACCAGGTGGAGTCAGTTCTGCTGTTAATGAAATTATTAAAAAAAGCTTTGCAAAAGAACAACTCAGAAGGCAAGAGCTCACAGTTTAACTTGGCCTTCATCTTTGAAGAGGCCCTGTTATGTCAAATTCTGACTCCAAACCTATGTGTTTGAGGGAGTTGAATATAGTGGAACAACTTGAGAGGAAGAAGTGGTAGAAGAGGTAGAAATATCTTCTTGAAAGTTTTTTCGTGGTTTTATTTTCCCCCCTGTTTGGAAGTAAGCCTTTGTCTGATTCTTTGCAATTCAAATGCAGAGTTTTCTAATGCTAGTCTGCAAAGTGGAGGAAACAAAAGAAACTGGCAAAAACGAAAGTGAAACATTCTCATTTCTTCATTTTGTGAGCCTAAAATGAATTCTAACCAAAGCTGATTTTAAACATTTTTCATTTTGTTGCTGTTGGTATGTATAGATTTTTATACTTTTCTGGAGCTTAAGGTCAGATGGTATCTTGTCTGACCTCAAGCTGTTGTATTTCAGCCAGATTATTTTCCTAAAAAGAGCCAAGAGCTAGATTTCGGGGAAGTAATTGGCACTGTACGCTCAGAAAGCAGGGGAAACTGAGGCCCATGTAACACTGGGATATTGAATTATTGAAATATGCTGAACTGGTTTCAACAGGTTAATCATACCCCATTTTGCAGACACAGGAGAAATGCTCTGGTTTTGTTGCCAGCCTGGCTCGGAGAAAATTCTGCTTTGATTCCAGGTCTTGCAATTTCGGTATGAGCCTGAGCTTGTGATGAAGAGGTGCCATCCAGGTTTCTACAAAGATGCCACCTCAGCACTGATTCACTTCACTCCAGTGCTTTGTTTCCAACCAAGTTATTTTTTTTAGAGGCACTCCTTTCCCCATTTCCCTCTCTCCCTCTGTCATGTAGATGGCCAATATCTGACAGAGGATGATCTTTCTGTGCTCTGTCCTGGGTTCGGGAGAGGTCCCTTTTTGTTTCTCATACTGAGTTTTATTAGTTGGTTAATTTTGCATTTGTTGTGAGATGGTAATTTGGTTACTATTGAATGTGTTGCAGGAGTTAAAATTATTTTTTGTTTGCTAAATCATTTCCATATTAAAGAGCAAAAGGAAAGAAAAAGAAATCCCAAAGTTCAGCAACATTATTATTGCACTTGGATTTCAGATTCTGCATTCATTGTGGAACTCCTGACTTTTATTTCATATAGAGTATTCTTGTCTTATGAAATGTCATGACCTCTCTTTATTCATATTTCTTAGGAATGAAGACTGTATATGCTTTTTAACATTATCTACTTACATTTGATTACATTCTTGATATGCAACACTATCACAGTACTCAAATCATTAGCTGGGTTCTAGTTTTTACTAGCAGTTTCTTTAGTTACTTTTCCCCATTTGATTAAAGATTATATATTCTCTTTGAATATGTAATTGTGTATTTAATTGAATGGATGAGAAAAAATAATTTGAATAATTTTTGCAGATTTTTTTAAAACCTACTTTCAAAATTCGACTCCAACAAAGTCACACATAAAAAACCCAAAATGCAGCCCCACTTTTCCTCCAATGCCGGAGTTTCACGGTAGCTTTAATGTGGAAGTGGTGCCAACAGGAGTTGTCCCCACCCTACGAGTTGTTTGTTATTGCCAGGCGTGCTCCTCCTCCTCCTGCCTGGTGCCAGCTTTATGTTCGGCTGGATTGGTTTTCCGGTTTGGTGGCTGGCGGAGCAGCCCCGGGATGGGAAGGAGCAGCCCCGGGATGTGAGGGAGCAGCCCCGGGATGGGAAGGAGCAGCCCCGGGATGGGAAGGAGCAGCCCCGGGATGGGAAGGAGCAGCCCCGGGGAAGGAGGGAGCAGCCCCGGGATGGGAAGGAGCAGCCCCGGGATGTGAGGGAGCAGCCCCGGGATGTGAGGGAGCAGCCCCGGGATGTGAGGGAGCAGCCCCGGGATGTGAGGGAGCAGCCCCGGGATGTGAGGGAGCAGCCCCGGGATGGGAAGGAGCAGCCCCGGGATGGGAAGGAGCAGCCCCGGGATGTGAGGGAGCAGCCCCGGGATGTGAGGGAGCAGCCCCGGGATGTGAGGGAGCAGCCCCGGGATGTGAGGGAGCAGCCCCGGGATGGGAGCAGTGAGCGAAGGGCGCTGCGGCTCCGGCTGCCCCGCGCTGCTCCCCCCCAGCCTGGAGCTGGCCTCGCCGTGCCCCCGGCCGGGGCTCAACGTGGAGTTGCTGTGTCTTTGTGGGTCGGGTTTGTTTGTGCTTTGGGGAATTTTTCTCCCCTCTTCAGGTTGAACAAGTAAAGCATGATTAGTTTAGAGTTTGGAAAATCATGTTCCCATTTCTCTTCTGGTTACATGAAATTAAAAAACAAACGCACCGTAGAGGTTAAAGACAGTGACGTGTACAGAGCTGTAACAGCTCCCCAGTCTCTAGAGCAGAGCTTTGTACTGGTGTCAGGGACTGGAGTAAGTTGAATTTAGCTGACCTGGGGGGACCCTGGGCTCTCCTCACCACCCTGAGGCTTCAGCAGTGCTGGTACAGCTGGGCAGGAGTTCCTGCTGCTTTTGGTTAGAACTGCTATGGGGAAGACTGGCTACAATCCAAGGGCAAATATTATTTAATCTTTGTGACTTTTGATCTAGAAGTAAGAACCAGGTGCAATCAGTATTTAAGAGAAAATAGTTGCATCTCACATTCAGTTAAAATATTAACTGAATGTGAGATAAGATACTTAACCATTGGAAAGAATTTAGGAATGGAGATTTTTTTTTTCTTCTTCAGTTTTTATATTTTACTAAAGAATGTGATGCTAACAGCATCTTCAGGAAAATTCGTGTGGGCTTTGTTTGTTTCTTTGATTTTTCACCTTTGAAAGATACATATTTTCAATTATATCAATAGAGACTTAAGATAACCCTTTTTAGTACATGCTTTGTGTCCTGAAGTATTTTCTGATTTGTGTCTCATTAAAATGAGATAGTAACTGTATTATATAGCCTGAAAAAAAAATTACTGTACTTCATACTGCTAATATTCAGAAAGGTTTTTTTGGTTGTTGTGGTTTTTTTTTTTTTCTTAAGCCGACATTTTAATCTGATCCTTTATTCTGGTTCTTGTTTTTAAAGTACAAAAGTATGCTGTGATACTTTTAAGAGCTGTAATTCATAGACTTTTGTATTATTTTTTTCTTCCCTAAATGGTAAGGGATGGGTTCTTTAAAAACCAGAAATTTCCATGGGTCATGCATTTACCTAGCAAATATGCAGCTGGACAGGAAAGAGAATTTCTGCACTCCATATTTTGTTATAGTTTTACAAAGATAGTTTTCTTCTTTGTCTGATGCTTCATTCTTGGAGTTTTCAATTGCTGTCTAAATGTTATTATAAGAAAAAAAAATCCAAGTTCTTGTTGCAGATTCTTGTGTTCATTTTCTGTATTAACAAGACTGATTCCTTACAAACAGACCCCCTTGTGCTGAACCTCCTCCCACTGGAAGCACAACCTTTGAGTTGTCTCCAGCATAAATCTCAGATGTCATATACCACCTAAAGGCCTGAGGTTTAGATGAGGAAAGTTAATCTGTAGCTAAACAAAGTATTTACTATTTGTGATTTTTTTTTTTAATCTTACTTAATTGCTGGCAGTTAATTTATATGAGATAGGAGGTGCAGGTGATCGGTCAGGTTTATTATTAATACTTTGAGCTATATCTCTAAATGCTTTTTTAAATCAGTTAATAAAATGGAGCTTGCTTGCTGGAAACTGAATTACTTTCCTCTAGTGGCTAATTTGAGCTGTGCGTTTATTGAGTGGTACTTTTTAGCTGTGTTACTTTTTTTCTTTTTTTTCCCAGTGTAGTTGCAGACGTCTTGGTTCTTGTTTTTGTTCAGAAAGCCAGAAATAGGAAGGAAAGAAAAAAGCAAGCTGTTGGCAGGTTTATCATTGAGTGTTTTTTAGCATGTTCTGCCATTTTTTTGTCTCTTTGTAGCCCTCGTCTTTTAAATACAAATCAAAATAATCAAAATTTTCATGAGTTTTACTTTAATACTGGAACGTATTGTGAAAATGTACTTATGCCTGTGGGAGGAATATGCTTCCTATAATAATTTATATTAACACCTTCCTTTAGAGAAGTTTATTTAATGTGCTGTGTGCATAGAGATTTAGTTTTTTTTCCTTAGTTTTTAAAAATGTCTTATCATTATTTCTTCAGTAGACAATCAGCTACGATCCTTGCCCGCACAGAGGATTTCAAATCAACGGCAAATTGCTGAAGAATTGCACTTCAAGTGGTCTCGAGACAGGAGAAGCAGGTCTTCACTATAATGGAAGAGGCCAAGAGCTCAAAGAATGGAAATCATGACCCAAGGAAGTCTGTCCGTCTTGTCTGTGAGGAAGGCAAATCAGTCAAAGTTACAATTAATCAAAATTATAAATACAATAGAAATGACAAATCTGCGAAGGATGTCGGGAGAAGTTCTCCAAGTGGGAATAGCAGCAGAAAAAGTAAACAAAATGATGTTTGTTCTGAAAAACAAGGAGAAAATAAATCATGCAAAGTAAATAGTTGTATTCCTGGAACTAAAGATTTGGGATCAAGTGTTCAGGATCGAAGTCATGGAAAAGCAAAAAAATTTTCTAATTTATCATCGGCAATGGAAAACCTGAAACAGACAAAATCCCAACCAGTGGGAGAAAACGCTCCAGGCTCCCATGTTTCAGGGAATGGGGTCAGCATGGAAAGCTTAACAGCTACTCAGAAAGGGAAACTGGTGCTGGAAAATCCAGTGGGAGTTCATACTTTGAAGACTAGTGTTGATCAGGCTGGTGATCCTGGTAAGACTGCTGCAGATCAAAGAAAAATGGAGCATAAGTCTGATGACTTCAGTGAGTATTAGTTAACAGTGCCTTATTCCATTTTCTTCTGGTGCAATGCTGACAGTCTGAAATGGGCTTGGAAATGTTTCTGTTGGTGTTATTTTTTCACATGTACGAAGTTGCTGCTTGCATTTAGAAGGAACATGATGTTCATACGAGCATATTGCTTAGAGAACAAGAGATTATGATAATAGCTGTCCTTTTTTCTTATGCCTAAGACCTAAACATCTTTGTAAGCTACTTATTGTGCGTGGGTTTTAGGCAATTTTGTGAATATAGTGTCTTAGGAAGGGGGAACCCTTTGTAATATCATTGCCACTCAGGGAAATGCCAGTTATTACTTCTTTTCAGAAAGATCAGGGGGAAAATGGGCAAGGGAAGTTCCTATTATATATAGAGGGGAAATATTTACTTCTTTTCTGTGACTGTTGGGCTCTTTTTGTTACTAAAAATGTTTTGAGTAGGCTTTGGCAGGTGGCTTTTTGAATTAGGGAGCTCTGGAATACCTATCATCCATCAGTGGTTACCCTTGTGAGTGTACATTTCTTACACATGGTTTTCAATGTCAAAATTAAATATATTGATCAAGCTTTGTCTCACCAGGCTAATTCCATAGCTCAGAATTTGTCACACTTCTTTAGAATACTTTTTTTCTTTAATGAAAATGCTGTTTTAAGATGCCAGCCAGTGTAGACCTTCTGTTTGAAGTATTTCCCACAGCTACAGCAGTTGCTTGTATGGAAATACAAGGAAAATAACAAAGTGTGTGGTTTTTTAGCTGTCTTAATAGTGTTTAACAGGAAAAACAAGTTCAAGTGGCAGCATCCTGTGATCAGTCAGCTCTTTGTAGACCCCCATTATATACTGTGGGGACCATCTGTCACTGAGAAACCAGGACTTGAAAACTTACTCAGCTTTGATTCCTTGCTAGTCTGGGGGCACTGCTCTCATTTGAAAGGAAAGAAAAAGGAGAGGAAAAGACAAAGCACAAATAACCCTCACCCTTGCTTATGTAAAAGCGACTGGAATCATTTGCTGTGGATGTTTGCAGAGATGAGTGGCCTGTGACCAATGCACAGGCATGTGGAGGAACTGGCCCCGTGGCACTGGGCTGAGCTTTTGGGAGCAGCAGCGTTGCAGAGCTCAGTGGCTGCTGCTGCCTGTGGGCGAGAGGTGTCACGGAGCCTTCAGGGGTGACTCCAGCAGCTTCCAGGCTCAGGGCTGGCATTGCCTGCTGCCTGCCTCTGTAGGGTCATTTGGGTGAACGTCTTTGAGGCGGTTCTCTGGCTTACCTCCTTACAAAATGTGTTGTGTACAAGAATTTTATGCCTAATATTTGTTTCTTTTACAGTAGGGCATGGGGATCTTGTTTACTCTGTTCCGGACAGCAAAACCCTTTCTTGCTGTGAACAATTGAGGAGACTGGGAATTTGACTGAAACACAGAATTAATCTACCTTTTTATTTTGTGGTTTTGACAGCACTCTTAGTAGCAGATTAGTCTCTGAAGTACTTTTAAAATACTGGTTAACTAACTGGAACAGTTTTAATGTTTAAGGTGATCTTGGGCAGTGTTTGGATAAAAAACTGGAATGTAGCTCTAATTTGTGTTTGTTCTTAGCTGCTCTGTACTCTAATTTTCACTTTTTCTCTCCTTGAATGACTCTTAAGAAAGTAACTGTTTCTTGCTTTAGGTAAAATAAAGAATTCTGAATCAACAAAAGAACATACATTGGAAGCGGATTATTTAGAAAACACTGGTGTTATTGATGAATCTAATCTGACAGTTGAACAGCAACTAGGATTGAAACAAGCTGAAGAACGTCTGGAAAGAGATTATATCTCCCGACTTGAAAAAGTAGGTTGGGTTATTTATCAGATAAAAAAGAAAATGTGTGTCCTCTTTCATTATCATCACCATATTTCTGGTTGGGTGGTGTTTCTACTACAGCCTGCTGCCAATGTTTCTTTCTTCTTAGTAATGAGTCACTTTCTGATCTAAGCTACTGTCTCCAGTAGTTGGCTGGTTGTTCATCCTGGCAGATTATATGGATTAGAAACTTTGTGTTCCTTTTGTGGCACATGTAGCCTTTGCAGAAAAGTATTTTTTAAATTTTCTAGATCTGAAGGTTTACAATTCCAGTATATTTAAATAAGATTTTATCTTATAAGATTTAAGTCTGGTTCTCTGGAAACTGAGAATGCAGGACTAAAAAGAACCTTGAGCTTTCTTTAGTGTCTCTCACCAGTCTCAGTTGCTATATTGGAGATGACTGCTTAAAAATGTTCACCTAAATTGTTCTTAATATTATCTCTAGTGACACAAATGTTGAAGTCAGTGTAGGTAACCCAGAAGATTTTGTTAATCTTCTGGAAGCATTTTAATCTCTCATATGTTGTCCTAGGAAAATTAGCTAAAAGTTTATTACTTCTTTTTCATAACATTCTGCACATAGGAAAATCATTCCCATTCCTGCAGTCAAACCTTCTTTAGGCTCTCTTTGTTCATTGTTCTTGAGGGTTTTTAGTTCCTGGTTCATTCTTCTTGCTTTTCTCTCAACACCCGTTGTGTAAGTGGTGTTCAAAATTGGACATGCAATTTCAGCTGAAATCTTACATATAAAGAGGAAGGCTGACTTCATCTCTCTGAAATATGGCATTTTCATTTAGGATCTCTGTTTTTTCAGCAGCAGTTGGATATTGGCTTAAAGTTGGACCAGCAATGATTCCCATGGCCTTTCCTTAAGGATTGGTCCATCAGGTGTTCCCAGCCCTGTATGTTTGCAGTTGATAGTACCTAAGGAATGATACTTTGCTGTGATATTATTTAGTTGGAGGTTATTCATTAAATTTCTTTAACTTTTTTGATATCTGAATTTTTGTCATGTTACATTTTCTGTATCCTCTTCCACGTCAATATCTTTTACATTTATAGTCAGCACACTTTCTGTTGCATTTCCTACCTCTTCAACAAAACTGTGGATATTTCTGCCCCCACAGGGACCCCTGCTGAAGAATACTTGGCACATGCTTCTAGGTAGGAGTGCTCTGAGGACAGTTCTCTCAGCAGTTCTGCTCCCACCTTACTGTTCTTTATTTAGGTAGTGTTTATGGTCTCCTTTTGAGACTGATACTATGACAAGTGACAAAGACTGTAAAATTCAAATACAACGTCTGCTGCTGCTTCTTCAAGAGCTATGACTGATCTTTAAAAAAGCAACCCTAAGATTGGGTTAGTGCAATTGTTTGCAGCAGATCAGGTTGTCACCTCTGACCTGTTTTTTCCCTATGTGCTTATTAAAAATTGATTACAGTATTTTTCTGAATGCTAATTCTGACTGGTGTCTAATTCCTTGGTTCATCTTATTTAGCCCTTTTAAGATATTCTTAAGTTTCTCTTTCCTGATGATCTGGAACCCTCCCATTCTCTGTGAGTTCTTTAAAATACAGCTGGCTCTTTTATAGATTAGCTCCTTGAGTATCCAAGGACAAATTTCATGAGACCTGGCTTATAAGGGTGCATCTATCTTACACAAGTAATGGTCTGTAACTTTTCTGTCTTGTTATTTTGAGTTTTTGCCCTTTTCATTGGAGTTAAGCATAATTAGATGATTTGAAAAGTCTTCACTAAAGGCAAATTAGAAGTTATTACATGATTCAGCCTTCCTGGCAACATCTATTAGCATAATACTGCAGACCAATATTGTAAAGAAAGACAAAATTTTTCAGAAATACTTTTACTCACTTTATTATAAAAGAATGGTAAAATATTTTTTATCTACTTCAGTCATCAGGCATCAAATACTTGAATCTTCCCATGTTGCCAGGTGTAACTGTCTGCAGGTTGTTTTCCAAATGGATGTCTAATTTCATCTTACTAGGTACCTGTCTTAGAGAAAATAGGGTTAAAAAATTGGTAATTAAAGCAATATTTTAAATTTCAATTTACTCTGTAGTTGGAGAGTATCAGACTGGTTTTTTTTTTTTTCCAAAAGCAAAAGGTCAAGCTCGGTAAGTGGAAAAACTTGCCCAAATTTAACAGTGGTTTAGGTCTCCATATGGTAAGTCAAATTTGTTTAACTGATCTGTGATCCACCTCAGTGTCTTAAAATGGTGTTCATTCATTGTTGTGTCACTGGTTAAACATCTGGTGTTTTCAGTAGACTTTTTGGGTTTAGTAAATATAGATGTATTAGAATTAGGACGAAAATGTGAAAGTAGTTTTTTTTCTCACCCAGCTATTGGAAAAGTCTAACAGATCTGGAGAAAATCTAAATTGTTTTTTTTTTTTAACCCTTTTGTCTCTGCAGTGAGCTTTTCAAAAGGTTTCCCATCTCTGTAGCTGTGGTCTGTTAGAGCGAGAAGATAAAATTGCAGGATGAGACAGATAAAGTGGAGTATTTGGGAACACCCCCTTCTCTTACAGAGTCTTTTCTGCCTTTGAGTCCAGCAGGTCTTAATGGTTTCCTGGCTGAATAAACTCCATGGTATCCCCTTGTGGACCCTGGGAAAACAGGTTTCCTTCTTCCCCAGCATCTCTGGATGTTTGGCTGCTTCTTGCACACTTGGGGATCTCCCAGGGGGCCACTCTCTGTTTGTGTTCTCCATCTCTGCCAGGCTTTGTGTACAAAAAGGTGCTTCTTCTGCAAGTGTCTCCAACTCTGAGCACTGCAGAGCATCCATCCCCACTCTGAGCACTGCAGAGCATCCATCCCAGCTCTGAGCACTACAGAGCATCCATCCCAGCTCTGAGCACTGCAGAGCATCCATCCCAGCTCTGAGCACTGCAGAGCATCCATCCCAGCTCTGAGCACTGCAGAGCATCCATCCCAGCTCTGAGCACTGCAGAGCATCCATCCCCACTCTGATCATTCCAGAGCATCCATCCCAACTCTGAGCACTGCAGAGCATCCATCCCCACTCTGAGCACTGCAGAGCATCCATCCCCACTCTGAGCACTGCAGAGCATCCATCCCAGCTCTGAGCATTGCAGAGCATCCATCCCAGCTCTGAGCACTGCAGAGCATCCATCCCCACTCTGAGCACTGCAGAGCATCCATCCCCACTCTGAGCATGGCAGAGCATCCATCCCCACTCTGAGCACTGCAGAGCATCCATCCCCACTCTGAGCACTGCAGAGCATCCATCCCCACTCTGAGCACTGCAGAGCATCCATCCCAATTCTGAGCACTGCAGAGCATCCATCCCCACTCTGAGCACTGCAGAGCATCCATCCCAATTCTGAGCACTGCAGAGCATCCATCCCCACTCTGAGCACTCCAGAGCATCCATCCCAGCTCTGAGCACTGCAGAGCATCCATCCCAACTCTGAGCACTGCAGAGCATCCATCCCCACTCTGATCATTCCAGAGCATCCATCCCAGCTCTGAGCACTGCAGAGCATCCATCCCCACTCTGAGCACTGCATAGCATCCATCCCAGCTCTGAGCATTGCAGAGCATCCATCAGAGTTGGAATAGCATCAGGCCTTGCTGGAGGATCCCACCGTGGCTGAGCACAGTGATTGGGAGGTGGCTGTGTTCCCCCAGGCTGCCTGGCCACACCCTTTCTAGCAGGGCAGAGCCAGCACCGTGTGACACAACAGCACAGCAGGACACAGCTGAGCTGCTGCCATTTCCTCATCAGGGATAGGCAGGGAGATGCTGAGGTTTAGCCAGTAATTAAAAGCTTCACCTGACAAGGGAATGGCTTACTGGTCTTTAGGTCAGCCTTAAGAAGCATGAACTCCTCAGTCTTAATCTTACCTCACTAAATTTACTGAGAAATGTGATTCTCAAGTCATCTCACTTCCTTCCCTCACTCTCCCCTCTTGTCATACAGGTAAAAATCCATTTCTGTTTGTTTTTTGAAGATTGCTTAATGTTTGCAAAGCACCTTTACATTAAAAGTGTTACATAATAGTTAAATACAGTTTATTATTCTTCAAAGAATTGAGTTTTTCAGGCACTACTGGTAGAAATATTTGTTTTAATCTATGGCAATTTTTCCTCAGCGCTCCCCAGAATACACCAACTGTCAGTATCTATGCAAGCTCTGCTTAGTCCACATTGAAAATATCCAGGGAGCCCACAAACATATTAAGGAAAAACGTCATAAGAAAAATATAATGGTAAGTTAACAAAATTATGGCTACTTTTTTCTTTCTTATACTCTTCTGGTTTTTTTATTTTCTTTTTGAAATCAAAATTTTTTTGTTGTGTGGTTTGTTTTCTTTGATCATGTTCATTTAGGTGAAAGTTTGTATGCTGAGCAGAGATCCACAAATTTCTGTTTTCTGTTTAAGAGGAAGGGCTTGATGATTTGTCCAGGCAGAGAGGAAAGGACAGATTTGGTCATTGCTTCTGAATTAGTGGCTCTGAGCAGTGAGTAGTTCGTCATGCTTTTAGTAAGAGAATGCAAGGTAACTTAGTTGAGAAATAAATATTACACAAAAATATATTCAGTTTTTCTATTCTCTGAAAATAATGCCATTGGTAGCAAGACGTCCAGGGATGGGAGGTGGGGCTGGGGATGTTGATTTTTTTTTTTTTTTTTTTTTACTTTGGCTGACTTCTGAAGTTTAGAAGAGTTACAGGAGGGAAGGATTCAGTTCATTCATTATCACCCTGGGTTTATTAATGTACTTAATATGAAAAATAGTTCTAAGGCTTACAAAGAGAAAACCAGTTTCCTTGTCAGATACCATGGTTCTCTGAAGAACTGTTACATGTAAGAAATCCAATAAAAGGTGCACAGATTTTCTTGCCAGCCCATTTTTGTAAATGCTGATGAAGAGCTACAGATTACCCAGGATGTTGGATTTTGTCGTTTAGATGGTTAAAATTACTCTTTCTATAACCATTCTCCAAAATTCAGTCAAATTACTTTCACGTTTCCATGGATTTCTTGCCATACTTCTGTTTTTCATTAATGCTCTAATTCTAAAACGTGTGCAAGTCATCACCTGGAAGACTCCAAATGCCATAAATCCATTAAATCTCAGAAAGTAACATTTTTACATTATGGTCAATGATTATTTGTAAAGGTTCTCTCGCTGTCTCCTAAATTGCATCATGCTTAAAAAAATGAGCCAGTCCTATGATTGATCTCTAAATGCTTCCTTACCATGCTTTCCATCTGGGCATGAAGATGAGAATTGAGCAATGAGGTTTCTTTAGCACTGAATGGAATTCTGGAGGACAGGGAGCAGTTTCACTTTTTAACACTTACCCCAGATAGCTTTCTGTGCAGCATCATGGTGATACCTATGTAACTGTCTTAAATGTTACTGCATAAAATGCTCCTGTTTGTAGCTCTGTGAGATACATGACAATCAAATAAACTCAGCAGCAACTGTGGTTTCCCAACTCAAGAAAAATCCTAACGTGGTGACATAAAAAAAAACCCATACTACTTTAAAAATGCTTATATTCTTTCTTACACTTAATTTGTTCAGATGAGAACAGAAGAGTTGAGAGATGCAGCCTAGAACTAAAGAAACATTTTCATACTGTACTGTGTTTTCTTAGAGCATATTTATTTTATAGTTATTATTTATTTCAATCATGTCTTTCACGTAGTTAATGAATTCATGGAACAAGAGGTTGTTGTACTTAGTCCCAAATGATTTGATGCATCTGACGTGTTCTTGCTGTTGGATGGGTGCACTAAATCCAGTACTTTCTGGAACCAGCTGTTTAAGCATAATGGGACTCAACTTACAAAATTTCCTTGGAGCTAGGAATACTTCTTCTGCCTCTGATAACTCTCCTTCAAGTACAATCCACTCTGAAAAAATCCATGTGACTTTTCCAGCTCAGTTACTTTTATGATGTACAATTACAGCTTTTTATTTTCTTAGTTGAATTCTGCTTCAGAACTCTCAGAAAATGTGGTTCAGGAATGGAATACAGAAGATTCCCTCTCCAGCTGCCAGCTGTGAAATGACATTTTCTGTTTTAAACACTGAGCATCTGCTCTCATTCCTGGCACCACAATATCGTATTTGCCAGTTAGGCCAGGCAGAGTTCCTGCCTTTGGAAGTGTTGGTCAGGACACAAACAGCATGTTCCAATATAGCAGTAAGAGATAGCCTTTCCTCTTAAAGTACCAGTTTTTAGTGACATCATCCCCCAATTCTTCAGGAAAAGCAAGAAGAGAACGAGCTGCGGGCGCTCCCGCCGCCCTCGCCTGCGCAGTTGGCTGCTCTGAGTTTCACTCTCATCGAGGCAGCAAACGAACAAGGCATCTCGGATGAGGACTTCAGAATTCGGCAAGAGATTGTAAATGAGATGGAGAAAATTATTCAACAGCCCTTACCAGGTATTCATAGTATGCTCCATTTGCTTCAGGTGAAAACTTGGCGTTATTTTTATAGATATAATTTTGATACCTTCGTTAATAGTGAATGAGTGCATTTGGGGTTAAATTATCTTGATAGTGTACAACATTAATATATACAGACTTTAATACATCCTGGAAGTGGATTTTTAAAGAATTAGCAAATATACAAAAAGAGGAAAATATGATTGTGTTTATTTGTCCTTCTTTCAGATGTGTTTATTGATCCTTTTTAAGTGATGGGATAAGATAACAAGAACAATAATATTTGATATTTGCTTCTTTGCATTGATTTTCCCATCAGCTCCTATAGTTAATGCACTGGGAGTTTGTAATCAGATTTTTGGAGCTGCTGTGGTGTTGACTTTGTGCTAACAGTGGTTTGGTGTTCAGTGCATCTGAACAGAAGAAAATATTCATCCCATTGCCAAAAAAATGTTGGAAATTTTTAATTTCATCTATGTTGGAGTCAGGTGTTGTTCTGTACAATCCATTTGTTTTAGAAATACCTTTTTTTTCCCTTTGCTCTATAAAAATACAGCTGTAAGAAAGATTTTGGTATGTGCAGGATGATCAGCTTTAGTTTTAGATGCTCTATGAAGTATCTGCTTAAACATAAGGTGCTGAATAGAATAAGGGTTTGTAGGGTGGAGGTTTGCTAATCTGTTTGCTCTCTAGTAAGTGACCCCTAGTGCAAACTTCTGCTCTGGCACTCTAGGGAGTTTTCCACTGATAGTGGGAAGCATAAGACAAAGCTTTTCCACATAACATTTTTTACATAAATGCTCAGGAAAACTATTGTTACTTTGTCTGGCTGACTTGTTTGGACTGATGAGCTTCTGTGGAGGTGTAGGAGTAGTGGAAGGGGAGTCTGTAATAGTAAATGACAGTTTGTTATTCTCCTTTTGAAAGCCAGCTATGTTCTAGTGAATGTGTTTTCCTAAGTTGTAAATTCAGAAAAATTTAATTCATCCACTGTGTAGAAAACATCTGATCTTCTGGCATGATTTTCTCTTGAGCTCACATTAGAACTATGCAAAAATTCTTACTACTATGATAAGCCAGTGGAAGGAATTGCAAATTATTATTATTAACCATACAGATTTTCATTCTGACAGGGCTGCAAGCAGTGAAAATAGGCTTGAAGCTATGTGTGTGTAAGATCTATTTTCTCTTTTAAGAGTAGTTTTGTTCATGTTTCTGATTGACTGAGTTTGGTCAGAACACACATAAAGGAAGATAGACAAGAAGAACCTTCTTTGCAGTGTGGGTGGTTGGACACTGGCACAGGTTGCCTGGAGAGATTGTGGTCCCTCCATCCATGGAGATTTTCAAAACCCAACTGGATACAGTCTGGGCAACCTGCTCTAGGTAACCCTGCTTGAGAGGCTGTTGGATTTGGGAAGCATTGAGAGCACTCTTCATTTTTCAGCTGATTTAAGTATGGGAGACCCTAATTTCTATTACAGGAAAGTTTTCATCTGCAAAAATTTCATTGTGAATTGGGATACTGTTTATGGAATGGGATGGCATTTCTCATATTATTGCTGAGTAGGTTCTTCCTAGTTAGTTTAGATCTGTTCTGCATCTTTGCAGGTAACTGCATTAATTAAAACAGTGAATGGATGCTGTACTCTGTGCCTTGGATTATATTGAAATTATGTTTATATACATATTTTGTAAGGAATTGTGTGTTGGAACTTGCTGATGGAATCAACAGATTGGTGCCTTATCCAGAAGTCTGTGAGGCATCAAAGAATTTTATAATTGGCTAAGAGCTGCAGTGAAATCAAGCTGTAGTTAACAAAAGCTGTTATATAAAATCCTACACTGAGATGGTGACAGTTATTGTTACTTCATATTTAAATTTATATTAAAAACAAACAGAACTATTGCAAAAAATCTTTAAAACAGCTTGGAAAATGTTGGACATTTGGTGGTTACAGTACTTGAATTATTTGTTTTCCTGTGTTATGGAAATGCCTGCCCTTCACAAGAGTGAGAAGGGGGTACAGTGTTCATTAATCTGGGAGTGCCAGTGAGGTGCAGTATCTAAAGCAAGGTATGCATCATCCACTAAAGACAAATTTATTTACTAACTGTTAAATAATTCTGTTTCTCTCTCTCCAGACTGTTCCCTGAGGATGTATGGCTCCTGCTTAACTAGATTTGCTTTCAAGACCAGCGATGTTAACATTGATATCAAATTCCCCCCTAAGGTGTGTAGATATTATCTTGTATTAACTAAGACTGCTTTTTAAATCAAGCCCATCCACATTTATTTCTATTCCATTGCCTTCATCTTCTTTTGGGGCACATGGTGTTAGGAGAGCACAAAGTATCTAATAATCTTTGATTTGATGTCATCTGTGCTGTGGAGGAAGCTTTCATTGCTCTTTAGATAACTTTAATTCTTGGGTGATGTTTCTTGTTTTGTTTGGACAACCTTATGCTAAGCTTTTTCTACTGTTTTTTTTGAGTAAGCACTGAAGCAGTATGAAAATAGTTGGCTTGGCTAAGTGTGCTTCCATGAACTCAACATTCAGACTGTAAACTCTTGTAGGTTTTGATTCCCCCCACACTTTTAAAATTTGAGATAAAAGTGACATTCTTCAGGTAATGAAATTGTTGGCTCATGTTTAGTGATATTAGCAGCACATTCTTGATAGACACTCAACTGCTGCACTTGTGTTTCAAAATGATAACGTGTTTCAAGATGATAACCTTTCAAAACTCCTGGGAAAGTCCTGACATTAAATTCTCTTGCTGTCCATTTCTAGTAGTATTCATTGATAATGAAATTGCTGAATATATGGCAAGTGCTTTTATTTATCCTGTTAATGCAGAACTAGAACAGAAGGGTTCACTAGGGCTGTAGGCTAAAGGAAGGCTGGCTGGGAGGTTTGCTGGCACCTGTTTTCATGGTGTAGACAGGCACAGTTAACTTTTTCATTGATACTGACAAATTATTTCACTTTTTTGAGGAACACAGAGTTGTGCAACCCAAGTAGTTCGAAATAAAATGTAAAATGAAATATTAGTCTCAATAATGCAACCTGCCCAAATTTTGTCATTGTAGATGAGTCAACCAGATGTTCTGATCCAGGTGCTTGAGATCTTGAAGAACAGTGGTGAGTTTTAGTTGCATCTCATTTCTATTTAACATTCCATCTGCTGCTTAGTTCTTTTTATGCTTAAATTTTCTGTAAACTTAGAAAAATTGATGGGTTTTCAGCCAAAGTATCTGGGCTGTTTTTATGAATGTGATTTTTATGAGCACCAGTGCTTGTGTGAATGAGAGATGAGAAGCTGCAGCAAGAGAATGCTCCAGTTCAGGTTGTCAGAAGTTGGGGCAGTAGTGTCAGATGCCAGAGCAAAAAGCTTTAACTTTTTGTATGATGGATTCTAGGCAGTAAACTCAAAAGCTGCTTTCCACTTGCATATGCACATGAGTGAGAGCTGTTTCAGGACTTCTAAAACTTGTAGCCTCTTGGTTCTGTCAGGGGCACAGCCTGGCTGTCTCATAGGGGTGGTGAGCCTCAAAAGTAACCAGAAAATATTGGTGCTGCTTAGCTCTGCAGCACTTAATTTGAGCTGTTACATAAATATAATAATTTTAAAGACAGAATTGGGAAAACTGTCAGAAACTTTGAAACAAAGTGTGTTTTTTCTCCTTCATTGCTTAGCTGTCTACTCAGATGTGGAGTCGGATTTCCATGCCAAAGTTCCTGTTGTCTTTTGCAAAGATGTTAAAAGGTATTTGTGACTGAAAAAAGTTTTTCATGAGCTACTATGCTTGTTCATACTAGGTGCTTGCCTGCACTCCTGACCAGAAGTATTACTGTAACATTCAGCTAACATTGTATTAGAAGGGAATTGCTCATACACAGAAATGTAACCTAGAAAGAAAGCTAGCTACTTTTGGTTTTGTGCTACACAGAACTCACTGGATGTAGGAATCTGACATTACCTTTTAGTTAACTGGGGGAAAAGTGGAGTGGTTTTCAGTTATTTAAAATTTTTGCCAGCAGTTTTAAGCCAAGGCTTTAAAAACATTTTATAAGATACATGTTGCCAGAAAGGACACATCATCTGACAGTTTCAGTAAATTCCTAAGAAGTAGCAACCTCCAAAATGAAACATGATTTCTTGACTGGCCAGAGGTATGGACTGAAACTCTGGGGAAGTAAATGCAACAAGAGTGGGCTTGTCTTTTCTGGTGTTTGTAACAGAATAGAAATAGTTGTTCTGAGAAGCTAAAGGAAAGTTTTTAGAGAAGCTGTTTTGTGGGTTTACCTTAATGTAACTCCTAATGTGCAGCAGGTCTGGAGTATTAGTTAATTTATTAGTTTGTTTAAGTGTTTGGAATGTAGACAGTATATTTGCTAATTGAACTGTGCAAGATAACATAATTAAGTAATGGCAGAACTTAGGAGCAAATTCTTAATGCTGTTTTGTATTTTTCACTGTAGTGAACTTCTGTAAGTTCTAGATGCAGTCAGTAAACTAATAGTAGAGAAAATGCAATTATATTCTGTAGCTTTTTGTTAAAAAATCAGGTTCTTACATAGGGAGACACTGATGGATGTTTTTATTTATCACACCACATCAGGGGGTGTGATGCCCCAGCTCCCCCTGCCCCAAGCACCATCTGTATCACAAAGTGATGACCCTTTATCTGTTCTGCATTGTGATTGCAGTGGTTTGACATGCAAAGTGAGTGCTAGGAATGACGTGGCTTGCCTTACAACTGACCTGCTGGCTGCACTTGGTAAACTGGAGCCTGTCCTGATTCCCTTGGTTTTGGCTTTCCGCTACTGGGCTAGAGTAAGTTATTGAATTATCTCAATAGTTCTTTCTAAGCACTGTGTACACTGTACTGTGTAATGTACCATGAATGTTTGTAGGAAGGACTTCATGCCACTGCTTCACCCCACCTCCATATGTGAGATGCCACTGTACAACAGCACATTTCAGTGCTGACTGAACTTCTAGATGGATGGCAGCATAAATGTGTGCCACAATCACAAAATGTGGTGAAACTGAAAAGAACAAAATGTGATAAGATAGTATTTCTTAATGCTATTCCTTAATGTATGAGTTGGTAGTTTGTATTCTGCCTGTATGTGACATGGCACGACCACTGCAGTTTCTGACATACAACATTTTGTACTTCACTCTAGTATGTTCCTCACATTTCTTTATTTGTCCTTTTGTAATAGATTGTAAACTCAAATTCTGTTGTTACATCAGAAAAGTAATTATTTCTTCTCTTCCAGCTCTGTCACATTGACTGTCAGGCTGAAGGTGGAATTCCCTCATATTCCTTTGCCTTAATGGTGATATTTTTTCTTCAGCAAAGAAAACCACGTATTTTACCGTCCTATTTGGGCAATTGGGTAAGTGATTTGGTACTTCATTATTAAGTTGTTGGCATTATTTCTGTGTTCTGCAACCTCATAAAAATGCAGAATTTGATAGCCAAAGAAAATGATAAATGAAATGCATTGGTACTTCATGCTCCCGCAGATGAGGCTTGATGATTCTGAAGACTTTTTTAAAAGGCACTTGTAGCAGGCTGTATAATTGTGTCATCTGTGTTTTGGAGAGAAAGCAATTATTTTCTTCTTTATTCCTCTGAATTTCTGTCTCTGACATCTGTTAATCTTGAGGGGTATGAATGTACCACAGTAGTCAGTGTTACATTTGCTGAAAACTGTTGGTTGTATGTATTATATACAGTCTTGTTTCAGAGCCACTTTAATTGTTGTTAGATTGAAGGCTTTGATTCAAAGAGGCCAGATGACCACCAGCTGAAAGGGGTGGAAGATGAAGAATTTGTAAGGTGGGAGTACAAACCACCCACAAATGGTGCAGCAAAAAACTCTGTTGGAGCAGAAAGCAAAGCTAAAGTCGAACAACAAAAAGGTGGTGGCAAGAAGACAACGAGCTCAGAAGTGGACAACCAAAGCAATGCAAAAGAGAAACATGGAATTGTAAGTCCTGACTTTATTTAATTGAAAACCATTTGCTATCTCTTATCCCTATTTTTTTATTTTTAAACATTGATGTTGGATGGATCAGGACAAAAAAAAAGGGAATATTAATTTCTTATTGCAGTTGAATACTTGTGTCCATGTTTTTCAGTCTCTCTTAGCGTTCAAAACCCCTCACCAAGTTTCACTGGGGCAACTGTGGTTGGAACTTTTGAAGTTTTACACACTGGAGTTTGCTTTGGAGGAATATGTCATCAGCATACGGGTACAAGAGCTCTTAACCAGAGAGAATAAAAACTGGCCCAAGAGGCGAATAGCCATTGAAGGTAGGCTGATCCCTTCCCACTTGTGTAGTCATCCTGCTTTAGCATCTTTATTTGCTTAACTTGCAAATGTGTTACAAGGATCTGGACAATAAGTCTTTCAAATATATATTTTGTCAGCTATTTAGTCTCTTTAAACACAAGTTTTCTCTGTCTAAAGAGCAGGGAAAGTCACTGAGTTACAGAGCAATGTGTGACATTCTGAATTGACCTTAAGAATAGAGAAATTGGGTATTTGAGGAAGACTAAGAAACCGTGTAAGGTGATATTTTTATAAAAACATGAATAATGACTTTTGAACACTTTCTAGAGATGTTGCTGAAGTGGCTTATCTGTAACACTTGAGGCGATGGAGAGGACAAAGAGAATCATACAGACAGAGAATGAGGTACAGAGGTACATTGAAGGATGAGTCAATAAGGTACAAGAAGAGTCAGAAGGAAAGTAGAACAGATAAGCAATGAATTCTCGAGGCACAGGTTGAGTAGTGGATGTTGAGATCACTCCTGTGACTTTTAATTTCCTCTCCCAATTCTTTTCTTCAATTACTTTTAGCTAGGGTATAGAAAAAGAAAGGAAGTGTTTATTCAACATGTGGGATGTAAGGTGTCAGGACAAATCATTGAGGAAGAAATGAGAAATAATTTCAAAAAACCAGATTGTATTCTGGTTCTGACACCTGCTGTTATTGGGCTAATTGTGTTGTTTGCTTTATGGTTTTTTACTTCTCAATTTTGCCTTTTTTCTTTTTTCCAATGTTGAGTTTGTAGCTGATCTTATGAAGTAACAGAATCTGAGTTTGGTACTATCTTCCAGGCAAACTTATAGCAACTATGCAGGAGCTCTTTTTGCTTGGAAAGCATGTTTGATCTAGAAATCGTTAGGAAGGCCTAAGAATGGATCCTGGTGAGATTGGTTCATACAATCCTTACATTCTCAATGTTACTCTTAGACAAATGAATTTCTTAAGGGAAATGAAATCCTTCTTCAGTGGAGGAAAAAAGGTTCTGGCTGGCATCTATTTATTTTGCCTTTGTTTGTTATAATTTCTAGTTTAGAAATTGGCCATAATATAATGTTGCAATATACCCATGGTTTTCTTTTTGAGTAACACTGTTTAGAATTGTTTATGATAGTCAGCCATTCATGGCTGCACTTGGATATGTTTTGTATGGAGGAATTTTGAAAAAACTTGTGAGTCTTTCATTCTCTAAGTATATCCAAATACAATTCTGGATTATAGTATAAGAACCTCCTTAACTGCCCTGTAAAAACTTAGGGATTTCAGCTGCTTTGTGAAATGTGGAAGTTAAAGATTACTAATTAAATTGTTCTTTTTCTTCCCAGATCCTTTTGCACTAAAGAGGAATGTTGCACGAAGTCTAAATAGCCAGATGGTATTTGAGTACATCCTGGAGCGATTTAGGACAGCATATAAATATTTTGCATGCCCACAAAGTAAAGATGGGATTAAATCCAAGCCAGATACCAAGAAAAAAGAAAAAGGGAAAATGAATAATAAGAAATCCACAAGATCTGAAGAGCCTGTAGCAAACTGTTGCCTTCCACAAGGGGAAAATGTTGTAGATAAAGAAGTTACAGAAAGTGGATGTAACATAGCAGAGAATGAAGTTGAATGTAATACAGTGGGAGAAGCTGTAGCCAAAAGATGTACTTCCCAGAGCATGGACCCTTTGCTACTTTCAACATTGGACTCTAGCTATGATGAAGACAAAGAAGAAGCTTTACCCCTTATTTCCAATGAATGCTGTGAATTAAAGGAAAAATCACCTAAAGAGAGAGATGATTTAGAAATTTCAGTGTGTCTAACTGAGGGTGAGCTCAGCCCCCACTGTAACTGCAGTGCACATCAGCCTGATGACACAAATTCCAGTAATGAGTTTTCTGATGCTGAAAGCAGGCAGAGTTTGGTACTGGAGTCGTCTCCACAGACGAAGTGCACTGGCAGCCCAGCTACCTCGGCCAGCTGCAGAGCAGTGCTGGACACCCAGGATCTCCAAGAGGAAGGCAGACTCTCAGCAGAAGAAATGCATTATGTGTTTGATAAGTTTATTTTTACTTCAGGAAAGGTAAGCAGTGCTGGTCATGGATCATTACTTTGAAGTCATTAAATCATTAAATCTAAGAGTGGGAGGATAGTGGGATTCCCGCAGTGATTGTTTCAGACTGGGATATGGGTGGCAGCTCTGGCCTTTGTAGGGTACCTGTTATTCAGGAAACATCACCTGTGTGACATTTGAATTAAATTATCTCTTTCCCTCATCTTGAGCTTTTTGATGTCCACACAAAAAAATCTGGATTTCTTTCTGGTTATTTGTGGGTTATTTCTGCCTTTCTTCTCCTACTTTCTTGTAGACTTTCCAGGTGCTTCTAGGCACTGTGAGAACTAAATGCAGCTTGGTGAGAGGTGTTCTGCTCTTTGTAGAGGCTCTGTTATTGTTCATATGTCAAATGTTCTTGGTTGCTTGGAAATGTTAGGTCTGCTGAACTGTCCTAAGTGCACAAATAGAATTTTCCTTTTTTCCCCCCCCAAAAAGCCACCAACTATAGTATGCAGCATCTGCAAACGGGATGGACATTCCAAAAATGATTGCCCAGAGGATTTCAAGAAAATTGATCTAAAACCACTACCACCAATGACAGACAGATTTCGGGAAATACTTGATATAGTGTGTAAAAGATGTTTTGGTAAGTTCAAAAAGTGTTTGTGCTCCACTTTATACTATGATCTGTAACCTGGAAGAATTAAAAACTCTAGGGTTAAATTACTTATTTACAATTATTCACAATTCAGTAGGAAGAAGCTCTTCCAGGTGCCCTAGGCTACAAATGGATCAGCATTTTAATTTTCAGATAATCCATGGCTGTGATAATTTATAACATATTTGAGAAACTGATGTTATATGGGCTTTTTCACCAGGTTTGTAAAAAGCTACTGGTGTTCCCAGGAATCAGGCTCTGGGCAAAACTAATTTTTGTGCTTATTGAATTCTTTTGAGGGTGCTGTTGTGGGTTAACCTTGGCTGGATGCCTGGTGCCCACCTGGACATTTTGTGGTTGAAAAACTGGATGTTTTGAAATAAAATCTGGAAGATTCTAATGTTTTAAAAAGAAAATCACAGATTTAAGCAAAGCAAGCACAACAAAAAAACCCCCATCCAATCTTTTAATTAGCTGAAAATGATTCTTGAGGTGCTGAATGTCATGTCTGACTGTGTTTTAATTTGTTTTTACTTAGATGAGTTATCCCCTCCTTTATCTGAGCAACAAAACAGAGAACAAATACTGGCAAGTTTGGAGAGATTTATTCGAAAGGAGTATAATGGTATGTAACCTTAGGTAGTGATTCTTGAGAATGCTTTCTTCAGTCATATTGTCCAGAACATAAAGATGTGCTTTATCTCATTTTATTTTCCTTGCTTGAAGCAGGAACAGCTCTTTTCCTTCCATTTGTAAAGCTGTCTTGCAGACTTCATCATTGAACATCCCTTCTTGCTATTCCATGGAAACATCCCTAGAGTGGAGGAAGAGCTGCCAGAGCAGTAATGCAATAATGCAAGCACAGGACTGCTCCAGTCAGGCCAAGAAGAAAGTTTGGTTGGGTTTAGTGTTAGCTTTGGTTGTGGGCCAAGGACTTTTGTTGCCTAGTCACCAGTGCTTGAGTATCTTAGAAATCCTAATGAGTTTATGTTCACATCCCTTACATAAAACAAGCAAAAATGTCTTACTACAGGGATGGAAGTCAAGGCACAGAAATGCTAAGGGATCTTTTTTATAGGAGGTGTAAAACAGTGCTAGAGCCAGGTACAAAACCCAGGTCTCCTGAATTCTAGTGCATGGAAGGCCATTCTGCTGTAGCTGACCTGTGATCAAGGAATTGGGAATTCTATCCACTGGCTGTGCCTCCACTTGCTGGCAGCAGCTGAGGATTGAGACCTGTTACAAAGCCTTGAAAGACTTAAGGTTTCCAATTCTATTAAAGTTTAGGAAAAAAAGCTGTAAGTGTTAGATCTATTTTCTTAGCATTAATTTCAGTTGAACAGATCAATGTATTCTTTGCAGTTAGGAAAGAATTTGTTTTAACAACAAATTTTGCCATCCAAGAATGAAAATACTTCGTAATATCGTGTTTCAAACAAAAATGTAAACAAAGCAATTGGGAAAGAATGTTCCATAAAGTATTGTAATCTTACTGCTTGTGTCTTCTTGAAGAATATGCTATAATTACAAAAACTCATTGACCAAATTTACCTAGTCATAGGAGAAATATGCAACCTAGATAAACTCTGAATGGAATTTCAGAAATATTACCTTGGCTACCCTAGGAGTAGCTCTGTCTTATCTGTGGGATAAAGCTGTACTGGTGACTGGGTTTGCACATTATTTTGATTTATTAAAAGCAGGAAAATGCAGTTGCATACCACAAAACATTGCACCACATTTAGAGATGCCATTTAATGATTATAGTAACTGTACTTCAGTCATAAAAAATACATAAAATAGGTCTTTATCCTGCCTTGCTTTCTGTAAATAACTTCTGAAGTGTTGTGCTTCCTCCTTTATCAAAGCTGAAGTCTTTGAAGTGACAGTGTAAGCTCTCTCTTTAAGCTCATTTTTATGGGCACCTGCACATTTCAGTTAAACAATATTTTATACTAAGCACTTACCATTCAACTGTAAAAGAATTAACTTTTTCTTGTCTTTTCTTTTGATCAGACAAAGCTAGGCTTTGCTTATTTGGCTCCTCAAAGAATGGATTTGGGTTTCGGGACAGTGATCTAGATATCTGCATGACATTAGAAGGTCATGAAAATGCAGAGGTAAGAGTTTTGAAATTGATAAAATCTGCTATTTTACATTCAAAGATTCTTTAAGGTTTTTTAATTCAGTTAAGATTTCTGCACACAGGAAAGGTAGGATTTGCTAGTTGCACTCTGCACACCTGAAGCAAGATCCAGCCTATTTTACTTTTAATGCCTTATAGACACACAGTGTACTATAGATGTCCACAAAGAGCTTATGAGTTTGTGTAAATTCATGTGCTGGCTTAATGCTTCCTCCTTTTTGGACATTCCAAAAATGATTGGTACATAGACTTTTCATCTATGAAATATATATGATAGTAAATGTGCTTGTTGGAATAGGATCCATGTTTTAACATCTGAAGCTGTGATCTTTGTTTTTCCTAGAAATTAAACTGTAAAGAAATAATAGAAGGTTTGGCAAAAGTTCTTAAGAAGCATCCAGGTAGGTGCTTTAAATTATTATTTGTTTTGCAGTTAGATTTTCTATAAATGTTGTTAATGGAAATGTTTTATGTACTAAAGTGTTGCTTCCCCAGGTTTGAGGAACATCTTGCCTATAACAACAGCCAAAGTGCCTATAGTAAAGTTTGAGCACAGGAGGAGTGGCTTGGAAGGAGATATCAGTTTGTACAATACACTGGTGAGCATCTGCTTGTGTCCTTTTGTGTTCAAAGAAAGCTTTTCATTCTTTCTATTTCTTTCCAAATAACCATTTGAGGGAACAATTTTGAAAGCAGAATGGAAATGCTTTTGAGTGTTTGTGTTTTTCTTCTACATGATTTAAATTCAGTGGCCCACGCCCTCAGCCCAATCCAGGTAGCTGTGTATGACCTGATGGCAGAGCAGGGTACAGCACAGGAAGTCTTGTTCTGGGGATACTTCTGAAAAGCCTTTACATCCACCATGGCCTGTGTGTCATCATGAATAGTGCAGCTCATTCTAGCTTTCACCTGACAATGTGAAAATGCACAATTTATTACATAATTGGCTCACCCTGACACCAGTTTAATTTTTTCCCCCTTTTTCCAGGCACAGCATAACACAAGGATGCTGGCTACCTACGCAGCTATTGATCCTAGGGTGCAATATCTGGGCTACACAATGAAAGTTTTTGCAAAGGTAATATAAAAAGAAGGTATTATTTGTACAATACAGTGTTTTCTGCTGCAGCCACTGAGTTTGCCTTTTGCCAATACCATCTGGGATGGAGACAGTAGAATGCTGTTGATATGAAGTGCACTTCCCTAAGCTTACAGTGCTCCATCAGACTGTGTGTGTCAAAATCAAATCCTGGTACCTTCTGCTGTCTGTTGGAATATTTCTGTGTAGGAGAAAGCTGATGAGATCCTTTTTTTCTTCAATTTCAAACCAGCTTCAATTATAACAAACAAAAAACCCCACCCAAACCCCAAGCAAAACTGGAAAAATCGGTAACTGTAAGATGTTAGGGGTATGTGGGTGTGCATGGGCTTCCCAAGTTTTCATATCTGGGGCCAGCCCAGAGGTTACTGCTGCTTTCTTCTGGCACACTTGCCTTGTTTGACTTAGTATAAAAGTCAGGAATAGGTAGGTATGGGGTGATGAATGAATTCCTGAGTCTCCATGTGCCTAGGACATACACTTGACTTTTAGAGTTTGGAAATGTCAGATCTCCTGCATCTTTTGTTATGATATTCTATCAAAATTTTATATTGTACAGCCTTTGGTAATTGAAACGTGGCATTGCCTTTTATTCAATCTGCAGTATTAAATACAGCATATTCAAAGAAAGCTTAGTGGAACTGGGGCAAATAAAAAATGGCTTATAGAGATGGTGAATCATGCTACCAGATGTTCATGTAATAAAATACATCAAGATGAATAAAATAACTTTGTGCCAGAATGGAATGGACACGTTCGTTATACTGTCACTGAGACTAGCAATGATTTTTTTCTTGGTGTGGTCACAGTAGTGCACAATATTGCCACGTCTCTTCTGTGTCCAAATTAAAAATGCCTTGTATTGATAATAATGAATCTTGCATTTTTTTGATAGCATTGCATTCTATTGTGCATTTTCCAAAAATACTACTGCAAAGATGAATTATACAAGTTGTGAGTTATACACTCCTGAATGTAAATGTATGGAAGTGACTTTGTAGCTATACAAAGTAGCTATACTTTTGTTTTTAAGCAAAATGCCTCCTGCTCTGTTTGCATTGGCAGAAAACCCAGAAACAGCTGTCACTGCTGCTGCTAATGTGAAAGTAATTTACGAATCCCTGGTTTTTCCAGCCCTAGGAGATTAAAAATGCCTTGTTTGATATGACACAGGCTCGAAACACAGGATAGCTTAGAAGCAGTTGCTGTGGAAAGGTTATGCTGTAATGAGATACTGAAGCATAGTAAGGTAATTCACTGATCAGAGTCACAGAAAGGCTTGGGTTGGAGGGACCTTGAGCTCATCTGGTTCCAGCTCCCTGACTTGGTCAGGGGTGTTTGTTTTGCACTGTGTTGTGCAGGCTGCACCATGCTTTAATTAGGTATGTGTATGTTTGCTAGCAAAATGCCACATGTGGCCTGCACTGCCAGTGCAACCTGGAAATATTTGCTGTTAATGAATTATTTTTTTAAAAGGGGAGGGGGAACCAAAATAATAAGGAATCATAGAAACAGCTCTTGCAGCATGAGTTAAGGAAAATTAAATTTTATGGTATTGAAACCTGGGATTTATGTTTTGGGAGTTTTGATTTGGGGTGTTTTTTTTTTAGTTTGGCACATTATAAAATTTTAAGTCTTTTGGCTATGAAAAGCTTTTCTGTTTTTATGTTAGACAAATTATGCTATGGATTTGCCAGATGGCAGTTGGCTCTTGGGTGTATTTATTTTTCAGGCTTCATAAAACAATTTTTAATTATGAGGTGAATGTACTTGCTGTTACTTATGGGGTTTCTGTTTGCTCTCTGACACAGTTATTAGTCTTGAAGAGTGAAATATACATTCAGCATTTTGTTTAAAATGTATTTTTTCAGCGCTGCGATATTGGTGATGCATCCCGTGGTAGTCTCTCTTCGTATGCCTATATTCTTATGGTTTTGTACTTTCTACAGCAGAGAAATCCACCAGTTATTCCAGTTCTTCAGGAGGTAGGTTCAGAAAATGAGGTTATGAAAATAGATGCACTTTTTCTTCAAGCCAAATATGAGAAGTCTGGGATTTTAGGATCAGAGGGGATAAATGAAATATGGGGCCCTTCTAATCAGCAGGTTCTTAACTCCCTCTTGGTTTTAGTAGGTAAAACTGACCAAGAAAATTAGATCAAATCTGGGAGTCTGTTGTGCCTAAGTTCTGCTATTACATTTACTTTGGGATTTTGGTCTTATGATGATATTTATATGCTGAACAGGATAGAAAAAAATTGGCAGGTGGTATGGAGAGAAGGGAATTGTAATTATGAGACTGCACCAGATGCTCTTGAAATGTGAGTCCAGTTCTTCAACCAGTTATTGTCAGAAGCATTATTTATTGCTCAACACTTCATCTGTAAGAGAAGACGTTTATTTTATTATTTGATGAGGAGAAAATAAGATAATTGATGCTTTGGTGCAACTTTAAAGAAATATTTCATATGTACCAGAAGACTTTACTAAGAAAACAATGTTCTGCACCCTCATTGTATGGGTGGGGAGAATACAATTATTCAGCTATCTGCCTCTTCCTGGATACACTCTGGAACTCCCAAGTACCTCTGAAAATTACCCCTTTCTGCCTCTTTTGGTTTCTTTGTGCAAGAGGGAAATTGGCTTAAGCATTGCAGTTGAGACTCATAGACTTTCTTGCTGATCTTTAGTATCTGATACTTTAGTAGTGGTTGGGGGTTTTTATTTTACTGCTACCCCGAGAGTGCATTTAAATAACAGTGGAATTTCCTCTTGGCTGTGCTAAAGTCAAAATGTAATAGAAATCATATAAAGTCTCCTTAGAGAATCTGTGGGCTAGAGAGATGTTGGAATCTTGACAAGGTAATTCAGTCATGTTTTCTTAGTTGCAAGGAACAAGTAAAAATGAAACATCCAAATATTTTGAGAGGTACGGCAACAGTGCAAAAAGTCTTTCAAACTTTTTACCAATGGGAAATTCTGTCTGTATAAGAAGTAATTGTTAAAATTAAAGTATTTATGTTTTTATATGATTTTTTTACCAAAAGAACTGCAAGTATTTTACAGTGGCTTTGAATTAGAGCAGTAACTGTCACTCTCTGTTCTGGCAGATATTTGATGGCAAACAGATTCCACAAAGAATGGTGGATGGATGGAATGCTTTTTTCTTTGATGACATGGAAGAATTGGTAATATTCTAAATCCAGAAGAGTAACTAAAATTTAAACCTTGCTTTTCAGGAAAATGAATAATTTTTTAACAGTGTAATGTATAAAAGATTAATTTTACTGATTGATTAATTAAATTTCCATACCCATAGTGTTGCAACTTCCTGAGTCCTGTTTTGCTAAAAGGAATTTCTACTTTTGCTTGGTTTATTTTAAATAATTTCTAAATAACATAAATCAGGAAAAAGATTTTTTATTCTTAAAAATAGTCCAGGTTTAGTCTTAACTGTAGTGATTTAACCTTACTTTAACCAAATCCTTCATAGTAATGAAGGAAAACCATGTAATTAGAGAGGTGTTTGTGGAGAAGCAGTGCTGCAGTGACTGTAGCTGAATAAATTCCTTCCCCTGCCTGCAGAAGAAGCGTCTCCCTTCCCTGGGGAAGAACACTGAGTCCCTTGGGGAGCTCTGGCTGGGGCTGCTGCGCTTCTACACGGAGGAGTTTGACTTCAAGGAATACGTGATCAGCATCCGGCAGAAGAAGCTGTTGACCACCTTTGAGAAGCAGTGGACCTCCAAGTGTATTGCCATTGAAGGTACTCCTGCTGAATTCAGTCTCCATTCATCAGGAGTAGGAAACTGTTGCTTGAGAGGCTGTTTTGTCTGCACAGGATCTTGATGTGAGGAAACCACAGTCAGTGCTTCAAAAAGAAACATTCTTTGCAAGTCCTGCAGCTCACAAAATTGATAACTTTTACTACATGTCAGTGAATTGTTCTTCTTACTGTTATTATGGTTGACTAACATAAGAATTTTAAAACTCTCAGCATTGCATTGCTATAATCTGCTCTGTGAATGCATTTACATGGAATTCTCTGCATTAAGATAAATTCTGTTGCAGCAAATTTTTTCCAGCTCTTGATTTTTTTTCTCCCTTCTTTTTGCAGATCCTTTTGACTTGAATCATAATCTGGGTGCTGGAGTCTCTAGGAAAAGTAAGCTATTCATGTCTGCTAATGATGAATATTCACTGAGTTGTGCCTTTTCTGTTTTTTTCCAATAACTTTGTCTTTCTCCAATAGTGACCAATTTCATAATGAAGGCATTTATCAATGGGAGAAAGTTATTTGGTACCCCATTCTACCCAGCTGTTGGAAGAGAAGCTGTAAGTTCTCAGAGGTTTTAGTACGTTTTTTCATTTTCTTTGTCCACTGAATTGATGCAAATCTCTTGTATGTGTTTATCCATTTGGTATGCACAATATGTGTAATTATACCTTGTCTGTATGAAATTTATAGCTAAGTATTTAGCTCCTGGAATATAAAATAAAGTAGTTGGATGGGCAATGGGTATTACTGGCTGGTTTGAGGAAAGTAAGCTTAATTTAGGTTTTGTTTTTTATAAAACCTCCCACTGTATGAGGTTAAAGTATTGCAGAAAACTGCAAATTTGGCTGTAAAACCCAGAAATGGCTCTAGGAACCTTACTGGCTCTTCCTGTAGCTAAAGAAAACAGATCCAAGAGATGTTCCATTCTCTTTAGTTTTCCACTTGGTGGAGATAGTAAGGATTGCTGCTTAAACAAGGAAAAGGATGATGATTGATTTTTTTAACGAATTGACCTTTAAAATTTGTGTAGTGAGTCAGGGTTAGGAATACGTTCATGCAATATCATATTGGAGAAAGTACTGCTCTGTGCTAGAGGGTCCAGTCATTGATGTGTAGAGACAACTGTTTTTTTTAATATGAGCAAATAAAATACTGTAATTAGTATTTTAAAGATCAACTTAGAAAGGCATTTTCTAAAACAGTTTAGAGAACTGTTCTCCCAGTGGCTTTTAACAGAAGGCTTTTGACTTTCTAAAGGATCTTCAAAATCTTTTGAAAGCTTTTAATTCCCTTCATCCTTCCCTATCTTCTCTTTTCCATTTGCTTCCTTTATCTGTGGGTTTTTTCTGAGTTTGTACCTCTGTTTCAGTACTTTCACAATATTTGTTGCTCAGAGGCTGTAAACCAGGCCTTTGTGCTGACACACATCAGAACTGCAGCTGTGCTGAGCAAATTCCAGGGGAGGGGAGTGATACAGGTCAGTCTGCAGATGCTCCATCTGTTTCCCACCTGAGCTGTGTCCTGTCCAAAGGGATGTAATCCTGTCATCTGGGAAGGGACATTGGCTGCTTTGGAAAGCACACAGGCAGTGACTCAGATACCAAAATAGATCATATGCTAAGAAATTGTGCTCTGAAGAGCCTTTGGGGAGGTGAAAGGTGGGCAGCAGGCTGGAGCCTGGGGAAGCTGTTCTGCAAATTCAGCCTCTGTCCCTAAGACCAAATAGCCCTTTTTAGCCCAGAGTGCTCCATATCTCTGAAAAAGCTGCCAGTATCTAGGGGAAGAAAAGGACCAGGTATCACCTCAGAAGTGATAACATTCAGGGAGCAATACGAGATGAAGACTGACAGTTTGACTTTGATTCCTCAGTCTTGTAAGTGAATGGTTTATATTGTAAGTGAATGGTTTATATATTTTATCTGTCTGATGTGTTTTGATAGGAATACTTTTTTGACTCAAAAGTGTTGACAGATGGGGAATTGGCACCCAATGACAGATGTTGTCGTGTCTGTGGAAAAATTGGTCACTACATGAAAGACTGTCCAAAGAGGAGGAGGTAAGTAATACACAAAGCTATTGTGAAATCTTTGAGATTAAATCATGAGGGATTTGCATATTTGAAGATTTAATGGAAATAAAAAATTGCTAAATTGCAGAGAAAATCAAAGCTTCATATCTGATCCTCAACTTCCCACCTTACTTTTTCTTTTTTTAAAACAGTTTCTGATCACCTCTTTAATCTGAAGTGTTTATGGAAGCACACACAGTAATATCAGCACTCTATGGTGTGTTAATATGTAACTAAGCTTAACTTAAAACTTGGATCACTAAAATATCTTTTTTGTAGTGTAAACATTCAGATGGAGAACATATTACCTGGCTGCAAAATTTATCATGTGTTAAAATGGATTTCCTGTAGTGGTCATCTTCAGAGGACAGTGTTGAATTTGAATTGTTCTGTAGATCTGATAATGTACATCTGCAAGGCAGGTCAAAGTTCATTTATTAAACTCTGGGATTAGTTAAAATGTACATAGGTGGGGTGGATTTCTGTAACATCATATCAGTGCCATGATGTTACAGAATCACCATATCACTTGATGATCCTGTACTTGTACATTGATTTCACTTAGGAATTTTGGGTACAGGACTCCTGCAAAGGGAGTCCTTGGTACATGCAGGTCAGTGTTTCCAAGAGAGTTCAGTAGGAATTGACAGAAAATGTGCACTCCTCACTTTTTAGAGCTTTGGCTATTTAATGCCCCACTCAGCCTAGGTTGTCTGACTCCTCCTAAAACCTGTTGAAGTCCTTAGAATGCAAATTATTCTGGGCTCTTTTATTTGCTCCTTATGTTCAGTTGTGTGCTCCATAATTCTTCAAAGGATTCTTGGTCTCTTCCTGCTACAAAATCTTTATTTACAGCCTTTTGTTCAGTCAGCAGAGTTGAAGATACATGAAAGTGCACTGGAACCCTGTGGTCACAGGTGGACTATTTCTTTCAGATGCTTTCTGTACTACAAGCACATGGAATTCCATCACCTCTTTCCCTATATTTGCCTCAGGAAAAGTTGTGATCTGCCCTTCACACAAACTGCTTCTACAGCACAGCCACACATAATCTCTCTCAGATTGTATATACAGCTCACATAATAATATTATTATTTAACAATCCTGCAGATACCTTGTGGAAAAAGACCTTTACTTCTTGTCTTGGCTCCTGATGACGAGTTCTCCTGCTGTTTTAGAACTGAGTGTTTGAAAGAGCCTCAGTGCTTTATTGCACATCCTTTCTGAGCTCAGATAGTGACAGAGAAATGTGCCCTGTCCAGTGAGGGGGAGATTGGATGAAGGAGGTGCAGCTCATTTGTTTTGGGTATATTCTGCCTCTGCAGTGGGATTGCTGCATAGAGCTGTTCCCCAGCTACCTGGCAGGCTTAGTTCTGCCCTAATACAGTCAGACAGCTTTTGGACAAGCCTGGGGAGCTTCTAACTTCATTAAGTGTATACAGGCTGTTAACCAGCCCAGAATCTGAAAGTGTTATTTGGGATTCCTGAGATATTCTGGTACAGCTGTTGGTTATGTAACCATTCCCAGTACAACAGCTCTACAGAGATTATGTGTTTGTGTGTGGTTTTGTGATATTGCTAATAAAAATTATTGTTCAGGTTGAAGAAAAAGGAGAATGAGAAAGATGATGAAAAAGAGGTGAAAGAAGATGACAGAGAAACAAGAGAGAAAAGGTGTTTCATCTGTGGGGATGTGGGTCATGTTAGGAGAGATTGTCCTGAATTCAAACAAACCCGTCAGAGAAATAATAGTGTGCCAGGTAAGTTAGTTTATGTCTTAGGATAATTTGAAAGCTCTGAGATCCTTTTTCTCTAGGTTTCTGTAAAGACTTGATAATTATCTTCAAAAAGCATTCCTGCAAGTAATGTTTCAGTCACTGAAAATACAGCTTTTAGTCTGTGTTGTTTTTCTGCAAGAGGAGTAATGTCTCCTGAAGTACAGTCTTTGCATGGGTGGTAAAAATGTACTCAGCAGTAAAATGCAGTGTACTTCAGAATATTGCATTATTGCATTATTTGTCTTCCACTCACAATTGGAGCATTTCAAAGTAGTAATAGTCATAATAGTAACAATAGTAATAATAATAATAATAATTGAATGCATTTCCTCTTCCAAATGTTTCTCAAATGTTAGCTAACCCTCCATCATCTGTGAGAGGTAAGTAAATGTATTTTCAGCAAAAATCAGTGTTCCTTCAGTAGCATTTCAAAAAAAGCATACAGATGAATTAGGCTAAATCCAACTTTCAATTTACGGATAGGACTTAGAGAAGATTAATTGCAAACTCTTTCAAATTAGGCCCTTGGGTGCCTGTGGTAATTGAAAAAGTAGAGGAAGCATTCATAAGTGAACTTCAGAAGAACCATGCTTCTGTTATCTTTTAGTCTTTTTTTTAGTTTACTTTCTTTGCCCAGAAGTTTCTGCTGTCATTATTGCTATTTAAAATGCTGCTGCTTACAGCAGAAATATGGAAACTTATATAAACCAGAGCTCCAGCCTGATAGCAAGGTGAGCCTTGTTCCTGCTAGACTTTGTTTTACTCAAAAATAGACTTTGTGTTTAGCTCCTGTGCCTATTAAAGTTGTCTGCTGCCAGTAGAGGGAAAAGTTTCCACTTAAAGGAGAGGAGAGGTGAAAGTGATTTACCTCTCCTGTGTCACATGAGAGCTAAGGTATTGCTGACTCCCAGTTCTGCTCATTATTCTGTCACCCTGTGGGTTTTATTAACACTCGTGTTCCTCGGTCAGGCACGCAGCTGGTCCGGAGCATGGTGAATTCCCAGCTGGTGGCTGTGGGCCAGCAGCAGGTGGAGCGACCCCTGCGCACCAGGCAGTCATCAGAATGTGTAAGTGCTGGGGGGGCTGCAGGGAGCAAAGCTGCAGCAGAGCAGCCATGCTGGGAACAGGTTTGCAGGGTTTTTCTCAACCTGGTAATGACAACGTTGCACTGGGCCAGTTAATGGAACTTTGATTTATGATGCACTGTGTCTTGGGGAGCATTTATGGGTTTTCAGTATGGAAACCTCATAGTCAAGTTTGAGATGAGATAACCTTGTGATTTTGAAAGGGCAGATTAAGCTAGGATGCCTTTCAAATTCTCATATTCTGGCAGTGTTCTGGAGTTACTAAGGGAGATAAAGCATAGCTCATTGTTAACATGCTGGAGACTTGGGTTAGTGACAGCCATGACTTTTTGTGGTTTGAGAGATCTGTCTTAAGGGACTGTCACGTACAGACACAGCACACAGACACATTGAGTCATACTTCAATGAAAAGTCTGCCAGAGCACACTAGAAGCACAAGCAGAACAATAGGGAAATTTTTGACAGTTTTGTGCTAGAATTTTTTCAAGTCTCCATAGAGCTACATAAAATATGTTTAATCTTCTGAGTGGAGATGAGGAGCAGAGGGTATTTGTGCAAATACAACTGCTGGCATTTAATATTTTTGGAGCAGACAGTACAGCAGAAATTAATTTATTTTAAGCTGTTAATCTGAGAAGTATGTGCCTGCTAATGAAGCTGGCAAGTAAGTAAATATAGTAATCAAGGCTGCTGATCACTAATGCTCTTTGTTCAGTTTGCTGCTTTGCTGACTGATCAGCAAGCCTTCATTGGAATGCAGTCTCCAGTAATGGAGATTTTATGACTTACAGTGTGCTTCTAAAGAGGGACTGATACAGCCCTAATCCAAGTGAAGGGCTGAAAATGCCACAGGAGTAGATTTTTTAGGAGCCTTATATTTCTGCCTGAGGAATTGAAGCTGGATGTGTGGGTGCACTCAGAGGCAGACACATCATTTTGTGTCACCTGGATGTCATGGACTCTGTGTGTGGTGCATGGTTGTCATTTGGCCAGGATTTCTTGGTGAATATGTTCTGTCCAGGAACTGGTGGAGAAGAATGGGAAGGGGGAATATTGGTGGAGTAAGAGGGGGAGAGTGGGAAGCAGATCAAGAGGCTGGAGTGTATTATGCCTCCTGTCCTGCTGCTGGCACATTCAGTGCATGCTTCTGGTGGGTTAATATTTGCAGGAATGTTGGAATACGTGTGCTTTATTTTTATAACATTTAAACTATTAAACTAGTGATCATCTTCCAAATCCCAGGTTTTACCTTCTCTTCCTGGTTTGATAGAAAGGTGTAGGAGGCACTCATACAGGCACAGTTGGAATAGCAGCAGGGAGCAATCCCAGCTTCTGGGCTCCAGCTTTTGCCCAGGCACAGACCCACAGCGTGCTGCTGGAGGGGATGCTCTGGCATGGGCAGTCCTGCAGACACCTCTGTTTATTGGAGACAAGTGACTGCCAGTTGAAATGGACAGGTGAGCAGTCAGGGATAGTGACAAGCTGCAGAGACCTTTAACTCCAGGTGTTCAACAGCAGCTGAGGCTCTTGGAGCTTGGCTAGCTGCTGTAGTCTGTGGAGAGAGGAGTCAGTCTCAGGGGGAAAATGAGATCTGAGATTCAGGTTCTCCTCTCTGCTTTAGGTACCTGTCTCATTTGAATGTCTCTGGAGACACTTATTCCATCAGCATCTTGTCTCAGTGCTTAAATCCAGACTGGGGAATCCAGATACTGGCATTAAGTGTTGGCACATAAACTGAGTAACTCTTTTCCCAGACACTCAATTTCTTGAAGTGCTTCTCTGTTCAGTTGCAATTCCAAATAGATAAAATATCCTCATGCCTGTTTCTGTTGCTGTTGAAAGGGAAAGCTTTGTAAGAGTTCTGAAAAGGCTGTAATAATTGCTATTACTGTGCCTTAAGCCATGGCCTAAGACCAGGATATGAAGGGGGAAACTGGGTTTTTGGAATTTGCATTTCTTGTTTAACAGATTTTTAAAAATGAAAGAAATATTAGGAGCTTACTTTGGAATGACTTAAAAAACTATGCAGTAATAAGAACCACTCTATTTAGAAGTAAGGCAATTAGTTAATGAGATCCTAGGCTGTACATAAGTAGGGTAGGAAAGACACTGATTAAAGATCAGAAACAAGTGTGTGAGGAGTCTAATGAAGAGCTTGGGACTAATATTCACTCAGAATGTTGTTTCTGATGGTGGGATGTGCCACATTAACAGACCAAATTATCTGTTGGTGAAAGTCAGTGTCAGTTGAACTGCACTTACTGAAGCCAACAGGAACTTGGGTGCAGTGCTTGGGGTGTTGCTGGGGAGTGCTTTGCTGTTTTATAAATAGTCTAATGCAGTGGGTGCTTATTAAAGAAAACACCATTAAATAGCCAGTGAACTAATCAGAAATACATCACTTTTTTTTTTCCTCCAGTCTGATTCGCATCAGTCATCTTACTCTCCACAACCTCAGCAATTCCCACAGAATTCCTCTCAGCCAGCCTCCATTAACCAGACTCAGCCACAATCAGTATCCCAGTCTAAGCACGTTCCTCAGCCACAGCAGGGTGCACAGCCAGCCCATCAGGTCCAGCTGCCTTTGTTTAACTTTCCCCAATCTCCCCCAGGTCAGTATTCCACCTTGCATAACCTGGGACTACTTCAGATGCACCATCACCACCAAATTCAGCTTCCCAACACTTCTTGGCCTATTCATGGGCCTGTTATTCACTCTGCACCGGGTAACCCTCCTCATTCTACAAATGTTCCATTTTCTATGAGATCTGGCAGCAGCAGCACCACAAATAACCAGAGCAGTGTAAGCTTGAATGATCCCAGTATCATCTTTGCACAGCCTGCTGCCAGGCCCATGGGAATCCCCAGCACTTCTCATGAGGGACACTGGCACAATCCTGTGACTCCAAACTCACTGGTGAACAATGGCACTGTGGGGAATTCAGGTAACTCTTCTCTGTTGTATCAAACCTCTCACACTTTGTGTACAAGTGTTAAGTGTTACAGGAACAGCTAACTCTTTCAGATTGTTTGATAAAAATATGATGCTTAAGAAACCAAATCGTGACTTTCACCTGTCTTAACATTTTCATAGGAAAAAAAATGAGAATTGATCACCGTAACTTTTAGGCATTGGTCCTGTCTGCCATTAATGGCTGTGCAACAATGAGAAATCCTGCATTCAACTGAGAAACCTCCTCATCATTGTTTGAATCACTCACATTTCTGTGAATGTGCTGACAAATAATGGATTCCTTAGACAATCGTGGAAACATTAAAGTTGGAAAAGACCTCTAAGATCAACACATTGTTACACAATGTATTAGACAAATGCTGAGGTTGCAATCATGAACTTAGAGACTGGCAGAATTACAGTGGTGCAAGTTGAATATTGTCTCCTCACCTTTAGTACAATATAATATGATCTTACCTATTCTGTTTTTTCCTTTGGCTTGTCCTGCCTCACTTAACTTCCATAATCTTGATGTTGATTCCTGACGTTACATTTTCCTGTGACAAGTGGGCAACAGCCTCTTGCCTCATAGCAAGCATTGGTATGTTTGAGGCTGAGAAAAAGCAGTATATAATGATTAAAGCCCATTCAGTTTTCTCTGCTACATGAACTGTGGCAGCTTCTAAATTTCAACTGTTAACCTTTACATCATTAATCATGGTGGTGGTCTTCTGATTTATTCTGAGTGTGTAAGTCCTCCTGTTTAAAAAAATAAATGCATAATATAATGTACTGGTGCAGTTGTTCATCCTGAGATGGAAATTCTGAATCTCCTGCCCATGCTTTCTCTGCACTAATGATGTGATTGTCAGTAACAGTAGATTTTCAGCTGAGTCTACTGTTTTGGATGAGGAATAATTCACCAATGGGCGTCAGACATAAGGGGCTGGAGATACATGATTTTCTGTTTAAAGCTTTGTGGGGCATATATTTTAAAGGATACAGGAACTTTTACCCGTGTGTTTTCTGTGTCTCCAGTGTGCTCTGTCCCTACCTCTCCATTTTGGATCTTCTCATCTGTCACCTTCTCCAGCTTTGCCTTTCCTTTAAGCAGCTCCTTCCAATCCACATTTCCTTACTAAGGTAGCTGCCTTCTTTCAGACAAGCTCCATAAATTCTAATTCCTTCTCCGTGTGCTGTCAGTCACAGTATTTTTTTCCCATCCTTCATCTTCCATCAATTTCCAACCTCATGACACCCCTTTTTCTAGTTCCCAATCATAGTAATTTTCCTATTTGAAATTGAATCAATTTTATTTCCTTTTTGGCTTAGATGCCATTAAGGTGAATGCACAGTAGAGATGAGCTGTCTCCTGTCTGTTTGAAGCATGGTTTCATACCTGCTCAGGACAATTTGACAACAGTAAGTTTGAGGAAACTTTGTTCTGGCTCACATAACTTTGACATGAAAGGAGCTACCTCAATTTTCTTTTCAGTAGACAGCTGATTAGAAGTAGGATCATTAGAAGTATCAAGACAGCTCTTTTTTATGCATACTCAGAGACTGTGCCTCAAATTGTGGATCCTGCCTCCTTGGATGCTTGATTTCTCATCCTTAATGTTGCAGTGATATCGGAATTGTAAATGGAGTAGCTTTACAATTTGTATATTTATTTCCAAAGTTTATATTTTTCTCTCTAAAAATATTTTTAAGTCAGTCCAGTGATCTAGATAGCAAGTTTCTTAAGCATGTAAATATTAGTGGAATTCCAGTGTACACCTGAGAGTTATTTCTTGCAGTAGGATAATAGTTTTCCTGTCACAGCTCTGTCAGCGATAGTGGATATTTGTGTGGGATCAGACAGCAGTTCTGAATATTGTTCAGACCTTGTATTTTTCATCATGAGAAAGTCATAAAAATAGTGAAATCATAGCTCTTGATTTTAATGTTGATTCATCCTCTCTCTTCCCAATAATTCTATTATAGTGAATAATGAAGTAATTTAGGTGGTAATTTTTACTGATGTATATTAAATTTTTAAAAAGTAGCACATCAGACTGATCACATTAAGTCCCCTGCAAACTGTTATTTAAGATGTAAATTGTATTTGTGACTTACTGTTTAATTATTTCAACTTGCAATGTGCTTTTCCCTTTCAATTGAAAAATAGATCAGGGTTTCCAAGGACAGTTTGGTAAAATGAACCCTCCTTCTGTCCCTTGGGACCATGGGACCCCTACCCATTTTCCTCTCCTCCGAGGAGCGTGGCCTTACAATATGCCTCAGAACTACATGCAGCAGGGAAATGCCAGCTACCCACCGAACAAACCTTTCTACCCTCAAGGTACTAGAACCAGTATGTGATCAACAGCTCATGCTCCATGTCTCTGTACTGTCTCAAAGGCTTTAAAAGCCAAGCAATCATGGAAATCCCTGAAAACAACATTAACGAATCCCAGAGTCAAATCAGCACTTCAGCTTCCTCTGTGGATGATGCAAATCTTTGTGGGAGGGAAGGGTTAAAATAGAATTCTGAAATCTGAGCCAGTGTGCAGCCTGTTGCACTTCCAGCCTCTTTGCTGCTGCTGGCTCACCAGGAGCTGCCTCTGCTTCAGTAGAGGTTAAGATGATTGGCCCATGAGCGTGTTCAGAATATGAAGAAATTTTTGTTGTAATTCATTTTATTTGGCTTTTGTACCTTGCTTTGTGGAATGACTTACATAGATAAAAACTTGCAAGACCATAGAATAATTGAGGTTGGAAGGGGCCTCTGGAGGTTTAGTCCAGCCCATCCACAGTCAGAGCAGCACTGACTGCAAAGTTAGGTCAGGCTCAGTTCACCAGGGAACTGGAAAAGACTGACTTGATTTCAGCTCTGATGTTTATGAAAGGTGAAGGTGTTCAGTATCTGGCAGGATGGGGAAAGGCTGTAGGAAAAAGACCTTCACTATCAGAGAAACAGTGCTCAAATTTGACTTGGAGGATGTGCAGCTTCCATGCTGCTGGGGGTCACCTGGTGTAAAATGAGAGATACGGCCACCAAATCCTTTTTCAAAATCCAATCTATTGGCTCTAGCAGGGTTTCCAAGTGAAAACTGAGTTTACTTAAAATCCTGAAATTACTTTTGTTAAATAACTGAAGTAATGCAACAAAATAATGTGTTTGTGATTGTTAGGGAATTTTGGAGATAGGATTAAAGTAATTCTACATTGTCCCATTAAATGGGTTAGGTGTACAGATAGCATTTGTGTCAGTCTAGTAAATGGCTTTATTTCTAAGTTAGGTTAGTACACTGAATATTGCCAAGCACTGTTCAATGTGTGATTTGCTGAAGTAATTGTAATCCATTTTCTTTTAGCTGGTCCACTGATGCAGAGTAACCAGCGGTTCTCACTTCTGTCTCAAGGACACCCACACTTGAATCTGAATTACATTCAACAGAAAAAGTGAAATTGGATGGGATTGTGGGTGGGTGGGGGGAGGGGAGGAAGAAATTCAGGTTCTGATTTAAAATCTTAATGCAACATGTTTAGATACAAGATTATTTAAGACTGTTTTTAAACTGTATCATTTGTACATAGATATGAACTATAGTTTTTACTAGTATCACAAAACTGAGTGATACAAATTTCATCTATTTTATTACCCTATTTTTAAGGGGAATTGTGTTTTGTTTTATCTTGATAAACTGTAAAGAGAGAGAATTTTTAAAATTAAGTTCTTTATTTTCTATTAGCTGTATTCATACTTTGGTTGCTTCAGACTTTATATATATTGTTCTAAAAAAAAATAAAATTAGAAGGGGATTTCATGTGTTTAAAAATTTGTCACTTCTATTCTTTACAGAACTATGTAGTGCCAAAAAACTTTTTAAAAAGAAAAATAAAACTGCAAAAAAAGGACATAAGATTTTTTCTCTTTTCTATTTGCATGCATGCTTGCTTTAACAGGAATAATAAAATGGCTTTAATGTGGAGGTCTTGGAAAGATGAGCAGCGATACAAGCACCAGACCTGCTTTTTTCCATGCTGGTGTTGTTGCATGTGCTGTTGACAGCCCATGTGTGTGTTATCCTTGAAGGAGGAGCACACCTGCTTTTCTGTTTATCAGCTTTGCAAAACCATATGCTAATAGTGTGGCAGAATTAGGCTGTACTGGGAAGCAGTTTTAAAGAGGGCTTTCCATAAATTCCCTAGGCACACTTAGTTGTGCTGTTAGCACTCCCAGGGCAATGTGAGAATCCTGCAGCCCTAAATGCAGAGTTCAGGGATAAACCTGCCTGTCCCTGCTCCTGAAGAAGGCCAGGATTGAAGACAAGGTACACAAGGGCTTAACACAACTGATTTCAAATGTACTAGAAGGAGAATTATATCCTCAGTAAGAGCTTAATTATTCTAAATTAAAACAACTAACTTGACTCAGAGAAGGTAGAGCTGAACATCATCATGGTGTCAAATTCTCTTCCCAGTCACAGGGAGGCCACAAACTGTGCTCAAAGCAGTGATGAACTGTCTTTAAATATATTGAACTTGCTCCAGAAGAATGAATTAGTGCTTTGTACTGCTTTAACCTTCTGAACTCTGTGCTGGCATCACCAGAAGCAGCAGATTACACCGAAGGAAGATTTTTACAAAGCACCCAATGATGACCACAGGTTGGAGAGCACTGTCAAGTGAGCTTCTAGTGAACACACTGGGTTGTGACAGCCTTGCTTCCTCTCCTGTCCTGGAGCTCTGAGAGGCCAGAACTGGGATCCCTGCAGTATTTGTGACTGAATACAGACTTCCTTTGGCGCCTGACTTTGACAAAACAAGGCCCTGATTTGAGAAGGAAGCCAGCTTCAACCAGGGGACATCTCAACAAATTACTATGAAGGAAACAGCCAGGAGCCTTTAAAGACAAACCTTTCTTTTTTTATTGCTCTTCTTTAAGTTTTTACAGGCTTCAAGAAAAACAATTAAAAAACAACCTTCAAATTCTATCACAAGGATGAGTAACTAACTACATAAAAAGTATCCTTAGCTTACCTTTAGTAAAAAAATTCAAGACCACAAAATGAGAAAGATGATAAAAGAAAGGGACTGCTAAAGCAGCCAGTAGAGAGTCAGCTGTCCTGTGGAGCAAACAGGACAGCATTAGACTGCAGCTCAAGGTCCTTGAATGGTGGGCTGGGTTTTGTTTCTTATTCATTTCCTCGCCGACTCTTTTTGTGACTTTTCTTAGATCTGAAACAGAAAAAACAAAAAGCCAATACTGTAGAACCTATCTTTAATTCCCAAAGTGCACTTCAGAAATAAGCTAAGCCTTTACCTTTCAGGTGATTTGGAATGACTTCTGTGTCTGTGACTACGGTGATGCCCTGTGAGATAAAAAGGCAATAGTTATTTCCATTACCACTGGAATTCTTTGTTGTTTTGCTAATGCTATCTGCTTCTAGTGACCAAGTGTGCTAGACATTGCCAGAACAACCCTAGCTTTAACCAGGCACTCACATTAACCTCCTGGCAAGTATCTGAAAACTTACTCAAGACAATTTTGCAGCCATTAATGGAGTTCCTCAGCTCTGCTTTCATGTGAGCAGCAGTTTTATCAGCCAGATTTAACACCTGTGCTACCATCTTGATACAGTGACACAGATTTTTGCTGCAGTGGATGTGCTGCTGATAAAGACTTGGCACAGTGATTCTGGAAGTGGCAGAAGTACCTGGAGATTTCGATCTCGATCTGTGGCGCCTCTCCCGGGATCTGCTCCGGTGCCGTCTCGGGCTCTTGCTGCGATGGCGCTCCCGGCGCGGTGATGGGCTGAGGAAAAGGCAGCTTCTAAGAGAGTTGTGCCACAAATGCACATTGCTCACCTAAATAACAGAATTAAAGAGTACCTTCTTCTCTTTGGAGAGCGGCTGCGCCTGCAATTGGGGGAGAAAAGCAAAAAATCACTGAAAATCATCAGCAGAACAGCTGTTCCATTTCCCACATCTTCAGCAACAACACCAGGGCTTCTACTTCCTATGAGTGCTTAGGACTGGACCATGCAGTGAGCAAGAGTTTGGTGATGAATTTTTTCTGGTTTAGTATCAGTAAGAGCAATTAATAGGATTTTCTCTGTAGCCTCTGGCTTACATGAAAACAAAGCACTTGGTTCTCCTTAACATCTTCATTGTATTGTCAAATTTAGCTGAAGTTGGCCAGCAAGTTCAAGATTTAGAGAATGACTGGAGAAACAGGCAGAGGGGTTGACAGTGGCTGTGCACTGCAACTCCTCACTTCAGGAAGTGCTAAAGGAACAGGGAGGTGTGGGAGGTTCTGGCTGAACTGCCACCTTCACTGCTGTGCTCCAGCTGCCTGCAGCACAACAGGTAAACAATACTGGTGAAGGAAGAGTCCCCTCACCTCCTTGGGGACCTGCTGCGGCTCCGCCGGTACCGCACCACTGGAGACCTGCGGGGCTTGTCCAGGTCCCTGTAGCCCCTCCTGCGGTGGTCAGGAGATGGGATCCGTTCCAGCTGTAAACAAGTGGGGGAGGAGCTGTAAGTCCTGTTTCAGCAAGGTTTTACACTACCAATAAAGAGTTCTGAACAATGAATATAAATTGCAAAAGCCAGGCAGCCAAGCTTCCCCATCCCCAAGTGTTTCTTACTCAGGAGTGAGTGGTGCTGCCCAAAACTGCCAAATGGAAATCAAACAACCACTTCTCATAGTGTTGGTTTTGAAGAAATACAGCAGCACTGACTGATGGCCACAGGACCTTCCATCATCACCTTTAGTTCTCTCCATTACATAGGCATATAAATCAATTGGTCTAAATAAGCTTCACAAAGAGCAGACCCAGATTTGTGGAATTCAAGAGACAGGAAAACATGGCAACCTGAGAGTTGCTTCAGGGTCCAAGTCCTCACAAGCTGCTTTTATGAAAATATGCTATGAAAGGAGGTAAGAGTTGCCAGCAGCCTCCCCTCAAATATCTGTCATAGGCTATGAAGTGTCCTAAAGGGATTCAGCTCCAACTATTCATTTCCAATACAGTTCATCAAACAGTTCACCAACCTTTTCATCTTCTTCTTCCTCCTCCTCACTAGATTCTACATCATCCATGTCTTCCTCCAGAGCACTAACACGAGGCTCAAGTTGCTCAGCTTCTTCCAGAACATACCGTTTCTAGAAGGAATTGCAACTTTATTCAACATAACCCAAGTAAGAACAAACACCTAAGGAGGCAACCCCAGCTTACACAACAAGCCAGCAGCCAATCCAGCTACTGGTCTTGGTGCAGTCAGGAATTCCACAG